CAAGTTGACAAGGGGTAGGCCTGTGATAATTAATTTTATGTATTAATTTGACTGGGTCACAGATACCCAGATATCTGATTAAACATTATTTCTGGGTGTGTCTGTGAGGCTGTTTCTGGAAGAGATGGATATTTGGATCAGTTGACTGAGTAAAACAGATTGCTTTCCCCAGTGTGGGTGGGCACCATCTAATCCATTGAGGGGATGACTAGAACAAAATTAGAGGAAGGGAGAAGTCATTCTGTCTGCCTGACTGCTGGAGCACAGACATTGGTCTTCTGCCCTCAGATGCGGACTTACATCATGAGTCCTCTGGTTGTCAGTCTTCAGATTTAGACAGGAACTATACCACCTCCTTTGCTGGGTCTCCAACTTGACAACTGCAGATTATAGGACTTTTCAGACTCCATAATCGCGTGAGCCAATTCCTCATAACAAATCTCTTCATTATAGATTTATTACATCTCTATCATCTAAATCCATATGATCTATTGGTTTGTTTCTCTGGTGAGCCATAATACAGTTGTTTTTCTAAGAATGAGGTAATAAGAGTCCCTTTAGTTGATACACACTTGATTCAGAAAATTGTAACATTAAAAGAAACTCACGTAATTCCATTTAACTATGGATATGTGTTCAACTGCTTCCCATGCCCAGATGGCTGTGCTGCCAATTCATGGCATAGCAAAGAAGTCTAGTGCCTGTTGCTGCTTTAGGGAGCCTAGTGAAGGTGTCTTCTGTCATTCCCATGTGAAGTAGAGTAAAAAGTCATCTAAAAATCTGGGCTAGAGCCAGCCTCCAGGGTATGAAGAGGCTAGTTTCAGTAGCAATAACCTGCTTTATTGAATGGACCTGACAGTGTACTCAATGCCTTCTGTGCGTTGAGTGCTTTAGTCATCCCCAAATGCTATAAAGCAGGTATTATTACTGCAATTTTTCATATGATTAATTGGAAGCATGAAGTGGAAATAAACTTGCCCAAAGCTATAAGGCCAAGAAGTGAGGAGCAGGGATTTGCATGCAGGCAGTTTAGCTCTGGAGCCTATGTTGTATTAAACATTCATGGGCAGCTCGTGATGGTCACATTCAGCTAGTTTTGGGTGGTCGGGCCCCAGCTGTATCTTCTCCCCAGGCATGTCAAGATTGATGGGAAGAGGCAAGCGTCATGACTAACGGACTAGGAATTATGCATCCTCTCCGAAGTTCAGCCAAACAGGCCAGAAATTTTCTTAACAGCTTTATTGAGATGTAATTCACATACCATACAATTCACCCATTTAAAGTGTAAATATAATATTGTTTAATATATTTACAGGGATGTGCAACCATCACTGCATCTGGTTTTAGAACATTTTAGTCCCTCCTGGAAGAAACCTAGTACCCATTAGCAGTCACTCCCCGTTTCCCAGCCCACTTCTCCAGTCTTAATCAACTACATATCTACTTTCTGTCTCTGTAGCTTTCCCTAGTCAGTACATTTAATGGAAGTGAAATATTACAATACACTTTTTTTTGTAATGGACTTCTTGCATTTAACATAATATTTTCTAGATTCATCCATGCCATACTTCATCCATATCAGTACTTCATTTCTTTTTATTTGTGAATACTATTCCATTGTATGGATATACTATATTCTGTTTCTCATCCATCAGTTGATGGGCAGTTGGTTTATTTCCACTTTTTGTCTACTGCTGTGAATATGCATGTACTATTTTTAATATGGACATACATTTTCATTTCTCTTGGTTTCATTTTTCTTTTTTAAGAGACAGAGTCTCACTATGTTGCCCAGGCTGGTCTCAAACTTGTGGGCTCAAGTAATCCTCTTGCCTCAGCCTCCCAAAGTGCTGGAACTATAGGTATGAGCCACTGTACCTGGACTCTCTTGGTATTTATGTAGAAAACGAATTGCTAGGTTATATGATAACTCCATGTTCAACATTATGAGAAAATGCCAGCCTGTTTTCTAAAGCAGCTATACTACTTAACATTCCCACAGGCAGTATGTGAGGGTTCCAATATGTCTACCTCCTCACTAATACTTGCTAATATCTGCCTCTTTAGTTATAGCCATTCTAGTAGGCATAAAGTAGTATCTCATTGTGCTTTTATGTGCATTTCCTTGAGGTTAATGATGTTGGGCATCTCACTGCTTTTCATGCTTCTTCCTAGTTTGTTGAATGTTTATTAGGTTGAGTTGAGCAATTTCCCTTCTATTCCTAATTTATTGAGCATTTTTTTTTTAAATCATGAAAGGGTGTTGGATGTTGTAAATATCTTTTTTGTATTTATTTGTTCATGTAGTTTTTATTCTTTATTCTACTATATGACATATTACACATTGATTATATTGATATGTTAAAATGTTTTTATATGTTGCTGGGTTAAGTTTGCTAATATTTTGTTGAGGAGTTTTGCTTCTATATTCCTAAGGGCTATTGGTCTGTAGTTTTACTTTGTTCTGTTCCCTTGTGATTTCTTTGGTTTTGGCATCAGGGTAATTCTAATTCTGGCCTCATAAAGTCAGTTAGAAAGTGTTCCCCCTTCTTCTACCTGTTGAAAGAGTTTCTAAAGAACTGGTATTAATTCTCCTTTGAATGTTTTGCATATCTTTTCAGTAAAGCCATCTGGACCTGGTCTTTTACTGGTGGAAAATTTTAAAATGACTAATTTGAGTATTTTATTTTGTGCAGGCCTATTCAGACTTTCTATTTCTTCCACTCCACTTTTGGTAGTTGTATCTTTCTAGGAATTTGGCCATTTCATCTAAGTTTTCTAATTTGTTGGCATACAGTTGTTCATTGTTTTCCTTATAATCCCTTTTATTTCTGTAAGATTGGTAGTGATGTGACCACTTTCATTACTGATTTTTAATAATTTATATATTCTCTTTTCTTTTTCAGTAGTTAAGGATTGTCAATTTTGTTTAACATCTCAAAAAATCAACTTTTTGTTTGGATTTTCTGTATTGTTTCTTTAGTATCTATTTCATTGGTTTTTGCTTGAATCTATATAATTTGCTTTCTTCTACTAGCTTTGGGTTTAGTTTTCTCTTCTTATTCTAGCTCCTTAAAGTGTAATGTTAAAGTCTTTTAAAAGGTACGCATTTATAGCTATAAATATAAGAAGAAGCGAGGACTATTTTTGCCTGAAGAAGATTTAATAACGAGGACTATTTTTGCCCGAAGAAGATTTAATAGTCTGATAGAAATCCTGGTAAGACTGAATTACATATAATTTTATCTGGATGCTTTGCTTTCCTCATTCTATGGCAGAGAAGCATTCAAAATGTACAAGTGGAATACATAAACTCCAGTAGAACATTTGTTTTAGAAGTGATGATTATTCAAAGAGTTCACATAATTTTTAATTTTGAAGGATGCATTATTTGATGATGATTGTGAAACATTTTCAAACCTCTCACGTGTAGCAATTCTGCAGTCTGAGAAATTGCTACTGGCATTTGCAAGCATGGCAGAAATTTAATAAACTGTCGCCAAACCATTTGCTTGTTTGAATGCCAAGATTTCCTTCCCCACGTCACATGCAGTGTCCTGTTGCCAACAGTTATCAAAATACTCCCACAGTTGTCACAGAGAGAATTGTTCAGGGAGTTACTTTTTCTTTATTCTTCTTGTCCTTATATTTCATTGCCTTACCACTTCTACTTATGGATTTATTTGAGCAACTCAAATAACATCAGTATGGAACAGTTAGATATTAAATAATGGATTACAAAATCATATCTGAGATATAGCTATAGATGTATAGCTAGTACAAAAAGATTAAGAAGGAAGACTTTTATGCTTTACTCCCCAAATATTCTTAATGTTTCAGTTTTGACAGGGAGACTATGTTGTTTGTCCAATGTAAAACAACAATAAAAAATGTAAAAACAATTAGGAGAGAGGGAATCAAGAGGAAAGTACTAAGAAAGGTCCAGCTAGATCAACTCATTCTGATTAAAGATATGCATTTGTGTTGGAAAAGGTAATGGATGAGAGATTGACAAGCAGTTGAAATTATGGGCTCTGGGTTTGTATCTTCTGTGATGACCCCAGTAGGTAAGTGCCAGGCCAAGTTTGATCAAACCTTGAATATGAAACAGAAAAGGCAGAAGATTAGAGGGTGTGACTCTCGACTTCAGTCACACATGCAAAGATGCATGAAAGTGTTGCCTTTTACCACCAGGATAACATTCACAACTGTTATCTAAAAGAAACATATTTCTGCTATGTCTTGTGTGGTAATGGCTTTGATGGACACTTCGGCAGTCTCTATCAAAATGCCATATGCATGTAAACTTGACCAAGCAGTTCCATTGCTAGGAACGTTTTCTGAAGAAATACACCAATGCACAGATATTACATAGACAGATGCTCACTGCAGCAAAATATTTTAAATATCTTAAGTGTATATCAAAGAGAGAGAGGGCGAGAGAGCGAGAGAGAGTATGGATAAGTAGATTACAATTCAACTTGATTTAGGTTATAGGGCTACAAAGGAAAGAGCTGGGAACGAACCTAGCTTTTTCCCTCTCATGATACTACATTTCAGGAGTTAGTCAGTGGCTGTAGGTGGCTTTTGGGTGATCAGGACTCATCTGTGTCTTCTTCCCAGGACAGGTCAAGATTGGATTGTGGGGAGGGGAAGGAAGGCAGGCAAATGTCAAAGCTAAGGGAAGAGGAATAAGGCAGGCCAGGTTGAGAATTTAAAACAAGAATGAAGGAACAGAAAAAAAAATACGTATAATTAAGGGGAAGGGGTTCTGAAGGAAAATGTCTTGTTTCAGCAAAGGAGCGTTACCTTAATCAACTCAAACTCTACTTCCAAGGAACAATAAGCCCCCTCCTAAAAGACTAAAAATGAGCTTGCTATTAGTCTAATAGGTTTTCTTGCTCTGAAATAGGATGAGGGACTGAGGAAAAAGTTTACTTTTGTAAACTTTTTTGTGTAAAATTGGTTCCTTTTCATCAAAGAAAATCCATATTAACGTGTTTGAGGGATTAGTACATCTTTGAATTTCTAAGAATGGGAGCTGAATTCTCGCAGTATCCTCAAAGCTATGGAATGAAGGATTTGGTGTGGCTGCTGCAGGGTGGAATAATTCACGTGTTTTAAGGGACACATGCCAGTTTCAGGAGTCCTGGCATTTTCTGCATTCCCCGGTGTTTCCAGTGATCCCAGATGCTATATTGGCATTTTGTATGACCTTGAGCCAAATACTAGCCTTTCTGTGATTCATCTACTCTATCTCTTAAAAAAAAGGAGTGGAATTATGATCTGTACTATCCCTTCGAGTTGTGATATTAATAATTTTCAATGCTCACCGCATCATCAGCATTTTAAATAAATATTACTTGGTACTTATTAATGAGGGTTGAAAATGTAAAAATTATTTTCTTAACACAATTCATATATATACATATATATGTACATACATTATAGTTTCTGTGAATGAAAGAAAAAGATTTTGTACAAGAAAGTCTATCTGTGATCTGTCATCTTGGTTCTTCCCTTACTATTAGGAAATATCTGATAAGAAAGAAGGTTTGAGGAGAAATGATAAATGACAGCTGAAGGAGTGGACTATGTATTTATCTTTGTATTCATCTGCCCTTCATTTTTCCAGAACCTCCTCTCCACCACCCTGAACACACATGTACACACACCACACACACACATACACTCCATTGCCTCCTTAGCTCACAAAGGAGTTGATAAGGAACAATGTTGAAATAAAGATACCACTTAGCCTCATGACATCACACACCAAGAGAAAAAAAAAGCCATGGGTTGTACCTGCCTGTTCATCTCTTGTTATCTCACAGCAATTTGTCTGTTCTCAGGTGGAAGTAGAGGGTGTTGAGCCCTGATATAATTGATACAAATGTGTTTTTATTATGCAGCCATGTAAAATGCCTGACAAATGATTCTGCAATTATTTGATTCCTGAAATACAACTTTGTTTATATGCTTCATAGACCTTCAATTACAGGCAGTTTAACTGACCCAGGGCCCCAGCTGCTGAGCTCTGAAATATTAACATGCTTGCTTTGAGGCAAACATGCTTCCTGCTTCCCAGGGGCTGCTCTCAGCCAAAGATTGAGCATAGTGGGGACACTGAGGCATGCCCACGTTGGCTTTGGGGATTCACCTGATGATCTTGCTGAGACTTAATTAGACTGTACTGGTGGTCAAGAATTCATTCATTCAGTTTCCTTCCTTCTCTTCTTCACATGGGGTCAGCCTTAACCGGTCGGTCACCTTCCCCCTTTGCCTCACAAGCATTTCTCCTAACAAATTCCTTGCACACTTACCTTTGTCTTGGTATCTGTTCTTCAGAGTACCAGGACTAACATAAACTGATTAAAAGTACAGCTTTGCCAGGCACAGAACCATATGATTGATATCTTGCATGTTGGGTCAGTCGGAGGAGCCTAAGGATATATGATAGGGTAGCTGCTAGGAGGGAGCATTGGGAACTCTCAACAGTGGTATCCTGTGTGGGGTTTTAGTAAGAACTTGTGAGGCCGGGCGCGATGGCTCAAGCCTGTAATCCCAGCACTTTGGGAGGCCAAGGCGGGTGGATCACGAGGTCAAGAGATTGAGACCATCCTGGTCAACATGGTGAAACCCCGTCCCTACTAAAAATACAAAAAGCATTAGCTGGGTATAGTGGCGCGTGCCTGTAATCCCAGCTACTCAGGAGGTTGAGGCAGGAGAATGGCCTGAACCCAGGAGGCGGAGGTTGCGGTGAGCCGAGATCGCGTCATTGCACTCCAGCCCGGGTAGCAAGAGGGAAACTCCGTCTCAAAAAAAAAAAAAAAAAGAGAAAGATAAGAACTTGTGAATCAAGAAAAGAACTGAGTGAAACTTTTCATTAAGCATCTTTAAATTAGAAGACAGAACTTCCCACCAAGTAAATGTATAATGATTTGGAAATGTAAAATCAAGTATTTGGATTTAAAAGCATATGAATTTGAGAACAAAGAAAGTATAGGGTTTGGAGAAAGCCAGATCTGAGTTTGAGCCCCAGATCATTTTTGTGGTCTTAGGAAAATTACTGTGTTATTGGATTTTTTTTTCTTTTGAAACAGGGTCTCACTCACTCTGTCATCCAGGCTGGAGTGCAGTGGTGCAATCATGGCTCACTGCAGCCTCGACTTCCTGGGCTCAGGTGATTCTCCCACCTCAACCTCCTGAGTACCACCACACCCAGCTTATTTCTTTTTGTGTGTATTTTTTTTTGTACAGACAGGGTTTTGCCATGTTTTCCAGACTGGTCTCCATCTCCTGAGCTCAAGGGATCTGCTCACTTCGGCCGCTCCACAGTGCTGGGATTATAGGAGTGAGCCATGAAACCTGGCCTTGTTATGGAATCTTGATTCCAGCGATTTGCATTCCTCTTTGGATGTGAAGTATATAACCTTATCTACTGGCTCCCTGCAGGAGGCATAAACCTCCTACCTGATTGACATTGGTCTCGGCCATGGGACTTGCTGGGGTCTGGGGACTATGTGGCTGAGACATAGGTGAGTCTGAACAGAAGCTCTTAAAAGCCAGTACACAAGGTGGTTACTGCATTCTTTTCCCTCTGCCACAAGAAGCACAAGACCAAGGAGAGGCTGCTTCTACAGCCTGGATTCTGGAATAACGTTGCAGAGCCACAGCTGGCTGGTAGCTGCCATTACTGACAGCCAACACAAGCAAAATAAACTTTCGTGGTTGAAAACCACTGAGATTATTCTCCAAAGTTTTAATGTTGAAAAATTTCAGAATAAAGTTGAAGGAGCAGTTCAACTGACACTCTCACTTAGATTCTCCACTTTTGCCACGTTTGCTGAATTTGTCTTGTTCCCTACCTCAATATAGAGCTCCCTATTTTTGCTGAAACATTTGAGAGTTAGTTATAGGCAAAGTGATATTTGGTTCCTAAATATTTTATTATATATATCAAGATATATATATCCTTAAACAAGGTTTATTTCATATATGACCATGACACTATTGTCATATCCAAGAAATATAACATGGATATAATATGTAATGTACAGTTCATGTTCAAGTTTCTCTGTTACAATGTCATTCTTTGTAATTTTTTTTCCTGATCCAAAATCCAAGTGAGGATCATGCACTGCTAATAAATGTGTATCTCTTTAGTCCCCTTTAATTTAGAACAGTTTCTTGACTTTTTTGGGTTCGTCTTCCATAAAACTTACATTTTTGAAGAGTTTAGGTCAGTTGTTTTGTAGAAGATATCCCTTTTTGGATATACTTGATTTCCTCATACTTCTGTAGATGCAGGTTAAATATTTATGTTAGGAATACTATAGATTGGGCCGGGCGCGGTGGCTCAAGCCTGTAATCCCAGCACTGTGGGAGGCCGAGGCGGGTGGATCACGAGGTCAAGAGATTGAGACCATCCTGGTCAACATGGTGAAACCCCGTCTCTACTAAAAATACAAAAAATTAGCTGGGCATGGTGGTGCGTGCCTGTAATCCCAGCGACTCAGGAGGCTGGGGCAGGAGAATTGCCTGAACCTGGGAGGCGGAGGTTGCGGTGAGCCGAGATCGCACCATTGCACTCCAGCCTGGGTAACAAGAGCGAAACTCCGTCTCAAAAAAAAAAAAAAAAAAAAAAAAAAAAAAAAAAAAAAAAAAAAAAAAGGAATACTATAGATTGTATTGTTTATGTCACAATGAAGAAGCACAATTAATGTCAGATTGTCTCATTTTGGGTGATGATAAGTTTAACCACTTGAAGATGATATCCAACAGATTTCTCCATTGAAAAGTTTCATTTATCCATTTGTATTTTGTCAGTAATTTGTGAGGTGATACTTAGAGACTATGTGAATATATTGATCCCCAACAAACTTTCTCTTGGTTTTAGCATCTATTGATGATCCCTTCCTGTACCAATGATTGATTACATTGGTAGACCCAGAATGGTGATTTTCCTCATTCTATTTTTTCTACTACTTTTATTATCTGGTATTCTTTCGTACAGAAAACTCCCTCCACTCTCTCCATACTCATTTATTCTTGAGTATCATTACAGATTCACAAATTTTAGTATACATGTTATAATAGTTCAGCATTATTCTTTTAGTTATGCAAACTCTCCCAAATTTGGGCAACAGGAGCCCCTTCAAGCTTGGTCCTGTGTCCTTTTAAACATGTTTCTGTTTGTCTGTATTTTATCATTAGATCCAGGCTTATCTTAGATATTTGCTGTTACAGACTTGATTCTTTTTATTTGGCAGAGACATTGACAGAGTGAGACTAAGATTTGGGAAGCCAGTTGACAAGAAGGCAAGAGAGGGGATTCAGAGTAAGAAAATATTTTGGGGGAATTCTTAGCCAAAGATTAACCTTGGGTATGTCTCTCAAGTTCTTCAAACTTGAATTTCTTTTCCTGGAAAATAAAGATCATTATGCCAATTGCTCAGGAAGGTTGTGAAAATTAATAAACACAGCCCTATGATTGGCACATAGTATTTTTTGGCCATTATCACTAGTGACAACCTTTCAACTAGGTTAATTTCTGGTGAACTCCAACTACCTGCCTCCAATGCATTTATGATCAGACTTGCTTAAGTTTACATTCAGAGGCTTTGCTTAAATGTGGCTCTAGGGCTGGGTATGGTGGCTCACGCCTGTAATCCCAGCACTTTGGGAGGCTGAGGCAGGCCTATCACCAGGTCAGGAGTTCTAGACCAGCCTGACCAATGTGGTGAAACCCTGTCTCTACTAAAAATATAAAAATTAGCTGGGTGTATTGATGGGCACCTGTAGTCCCAGCTATTTGGGAGGCTGAGGCAGGAGAATCGCTTGAATCTGGGAGACAGAGGTTGCAGTGAGCCAGCATGGCACCACTGCAGTCCAGACTGGGAGACAGAGCAAGAGTCCACCACCCCCCTCAAAAAAAAAGAAAAAAAGAAAAAAAAAGTGGCTCTAAGATTTTCTAAGGGCACTAGAGTGTTTCTAGATGGGGTTAAATGGATAGTAGAGTGTTTCTGGATGGGGTTAAATGGGTACAGGCTTTAAAAGGCCGATGAAACAGACAGCTTTCATGGGAATCCTATCCAAATTCGAGAAAGCAAAAGATACACCCTCTCCCTAACACTATATGTATATGTACATGTCGTGGTTTGAATTAGGATGTTAAATGAATTGTAGCCTGGTAAAATGTAGACTGGGTGTAAATTCAAGCTCCGTCACTTACATTTCCCATTTTAAAAAGCGAAGATACACTTTCCTGGCGCAGTGGTTGTGAGTGTAAAATTTGGGCCAAGGAGATCGTCAGTCTATCGTGGCGCAGGGTCATATTTGTACCTTAGGCGGCACTTCCATCTGGTGGCATGGCATCCCAATTGCAAGGCAAAGGACAGAGTGGGGGGGAAGGCTGAATTCGTAAACCTACACCCTTAAGTAAAGCCACAGAATTGAACTGTGAATGAAAATATTTTCATCCTGTATCTACGGAGTGCTTACTTCAAATAACAGTCACGTCCTGGTACGACAGAGGAATTAGACAATATGCTGAGGTTTGCCTGCAAGGGCACTCATTCATTCATTCATTCATTCAAGAAACATCTGTTGAGTGCTGACTGTACGCTGTGCTCTGTTCCGGACTCTTGGGATACATCAGTGGACTAGAGACAAATTCTGCCCTGGGATGCCTTCTCCTGTACACCCTGTACTATGTAAACTAAACTGGATAATTTGTAAAGAGTTCTTACGGATTACAACGTCCCCTCCAAAGTCAACGGGACATGTTTCCAGGCCTCTATTACCATGGCTAAGTGGAGAGCCAGGGCGCAGACCCACTCCAGCCGAAATAAGAACCTACCCGGCGCAACTGAAAGTTAAGCCATGCGCTAGAAGTTGTCCTCGCTGACGAAATAGAAGACGCCTTTCCCCATTTCTCCCCCTAGACATCCGTGTATTCTTTTAGGGAAGCAAGCGCTTCACCCGAGTGGTCGGGATCGAACCCGTGGAGGGCAGAGGGCGACGGCGCCTGTGGGACTCTGTTTCCCTGCAGAGCCCAAGCGGTGGGTGGTAGGCAGGCCGGCCGCCCTGGGGGCCCTGTACCTCTGGGTCGCTCACCGCGCCCAGGTATCGCGCACAGGTAGGCGTCCCGGCTCGGAGTTTCGGGGTTTCAGCCACTGAATCCCCAGCGAGGCCTGACGCCCCCGGGTGGCGGCGCGCAGTCTGAGCTCTGGGTCCGGAACAGAACTGTCCTGCGGAACTCCTAGTGCACGCTCGGTTTCCGGGGGAGGACGGCGGCAAAGGACCTGCGCGCGACGGTTCTCACCACTGCTATGGAGGCGTTGGCAATGGGGGTCCCGGCGCTGCGGCTTTTGCGGGTCGCACCCGGTGGCGGGGTCAGCCGGAGTGAGTTTCAGAGGCCGTGGGGACGGGGAGCGAGGCCTAGAAAGTTGTGTCTGTCCAAATTGGGCCTGAGGCGGGTCCTGGGAGGTCTCCCTGGGCAGGGGAAGGAGGAGGGTTTCTCAGTCCCGCGGCGGCGGTCGCCCTTGCACAGCCTGGGAGCGAGAGGCCAGAGGAGGGCAGGAACGAGGGCAGGGGTCGCGGCCTGGCCGCGAGAGGAGCTTGGCCCGCCTCTGGGAAGCAGCGCACGTTCCGTGCACGTCTGCCCATGTCTTCCCAAGGAATACTCGTACTTGCCTTGGCAGGTTCCCTGATTTTGGCCTTTGGAAAGTAAACTCAGCTTTTCTCATTCGGGATATTGATAGTTTTGCTGTGGGACCTTTAGTCTCCTGAACTTTTCTTGTCTTCCTTGAAGACCCTTTCAAACCGACCACTTTGCTCACCTTCCCAATGACTCTAGTCCAGTTTTGACTCTGTTTCCTGGTTACTTTTTGCCCCTTACTGTAAAGCACTGATTGGAAACACGACAGAGGAAATTGGTGGGAAATAGGGATCTGATGTGAAAGAGCCAAATTTAAAAGTAGAGGCACTTATCTAGGCCAGTTCTGTTTCTTCTGCTGGTACTTGCTAATATTACAAATCGGCTTAAGTTTACCTCTGAGCACAGTTTTGGCAGTATGTTAATCATTTTTTCAGTCTTCATATTTATTGTAACTTTTCCACAGGATTTATAGCAACATCGCCAGCTTCTCAGCTGTCACCGACAGAATTGACAGAAATGCGGAATGATCTCTTTAATAAGGAGAAAGCCAGGCAGTTATCATTAACTCCCCGAACTGAGAAGATAGAAGTTAAACATGTTGGGAAAACTGACCCTGGTACTATCTTCATGATGAATAAAAACATTTCAACTCCCTACAGTTGTGCCATGCGTAAGTAACAGAATCAGGCTACAGTTTGGACCCTTTTACTTGAGCTGTGTGGAAGTACTGGTGCAGGAGACAGGATGTTGTAATTACTCCCTGGACTTCCCAGAGGTTCTTTATCTGGCACCTTACTGTCTGTTCACTGTCCCTTTAGCTCCGGAGGGTACTACGAGTATTCCAAGGTTGGCACTGTAGTGCACAGATTGTCCTGCCTGTGGAATGTTTGCCTCTGGCTTTGTTTAGGGTACTAGGTTATTTTCTGGCAAAAGGTGGCCAGACCTGAGTTTATTGTTACTAGTGTGCTTTCTCCTTTAATTTAATTTTAGAGATGGGGTTCTGTCTCTGTTGCCAAGGGTGGAGTGTAGTGGTACTATCATAGTTCACTGAAACTCCTAGCCTCAACTTACGAAGTAGCTGGGACTGTAGGCACCCACCACCACACCTGGCCAGTTTATTTTTATTTTTTGAGAGACAGGGTGGCTATGGTGCCCAGGCTGGTCTTGAACTTCTGACCTCAAGCCATCCTCCTGCTTCAGCCTCTCAAGTAGCTGAGATTTGCTTGCTCCTTTTAGCTAGGGCTGTGATGTGGTAGGAGCAGTCACCATGCAGGTCTCAAGAAGGGATTTTGGTATAAAGGATTGCCATGTCCCCAGGTGACCAGCTTTTTTTGCTGTTTTTCTTTCTCTCCTCTTTGTCGCATAGCCTAATTTATATCTATCATCTGCTTTCCATTTGTCTCTCTCTGTGTGTAATTTTGTTTACATTTATATGTACATGTGTAAATGTGTGAGTGGAAATGTGAATGGAATCCGTGTGATGGGGGTAAAAATATTTATATTTTAAAGAGACAGCTGTGCCCCATGTGTGATTTGGTGTGGAAATGAAGGAAATAAAGACCTCTGTATTTTATTTTTGATCAAAACGTTTTGATAGTACCTTTGATAGAACTGGTAATATTGAAATTAAAGAAGCCCCCAAATAGATACAGGCATGAGTAGCTGCCGGGTTTAAACTTTTGGAAAACTCAGTAATAATTCCATTTAAGTAATTAAAAACTTTAGTTAACAGCTTTAGTGATCAGCTTAAACTGGCCTAAAGAGAGTACACTCAGTCCTCCTTCACACTGGCACTTGAATTACTACGTATACATATTTACTCATTTGGTTTTCAAGTGTTTCTGGAACCTCTGCCATATGATAGGCATTAGGATTACAGAGGAGGATGAGACAGAACTCAGGCCCTTAAGGAGCTTTATACACATCACATGTAGTGATGAAGCTTCTGAAGCATCCTCAGCATGACTCCTGCCCTGAGACTTTCTTGTCATTCATTCTTGCAGTCATTCAGTAAACTTTTATTGAATACCAGCTATATTCCAGACCTGGTGCTACACTCTGGATATACTGATGAGTGAGCAAAAATAGACGTGATCCCTGTCTTTATAGGACTTAGGTACTGGTTGATAATTTAGAACCTGTAGTTTGATTACTTTTATGAGTAGCTGTGTAATTTCAGAACCTCTAATCACAGTTGATATTGCATTCTGGGATGATGAAACTGATTGGCTTATAGGGGAATTCATATTAATTATTAAAAAATGGTAACTACGGCATTTAACGTCAAGAGTCTATATCATGGAAATAAAAGATGGTCTGGGAGCAAGACCCAAAACCAATCTAGAACTGATTTTTGCAGGTTTGAGTTAATATATTTCCCTTTTCTTTTGAGTTGTGTGTGTATCTATCCAAATATATCCATGATGCTGCTCTCTGAATATTCAAGTGTAACTCTGGGAAAATTGTTTCATTAATAATTGACAAATTAATTTCAAACTAGACGTAGCCTTAATGAGTTTTGTAAATGGTTTGGGTAATTTTGTTAATAACCAACAAGACTTTTGAGTATATTGGGTATTATTTAATTAATTAATTAATTAATTTTTAAGATGGAGTCTTGGTCTGTCACCTAGGCTAGAGTGCAGTGGCGTGATCTCGGCTCACTGCAACCTCTGCCCCCTGGGTTCAAGTGCTTCTCCTGTCTCAGCCTCCCAAGTAGCTGAAATTCCTGGCTTGTGCCCCCACACCTGGCTAATTTTTGTAGGGCATTATTTTTTTTTTATTGGTAATAGATGTAATATGCTTTGTTTCTCTAAAAAGGACAGCCTGCAGAATCTTGCCTTCCCATTATTTTATTTCTAAATGTAGCACTTAAACATGTAACTTTCTCTCTGTATTTTGTTAGATAATCAGTCTGTTTTAAATTTCTAGACCTAAGCGAGTGGTACTGCAGGAAGTCCATTCTGGCTCTAGTGGATGGACAGCCGTGGGGCATGTATAAGCCTTTAACAAAGTCCTGTGAAATTCAGTTTCTTACTTTCAAAGATCGTGATCCAGGAGAAGTGAATAAGGTATTTCTGTCTTTAAATTCTTTTTCTGTTTCCCTTTTTATTAAGACCTGTTTTCTATGGAGTGTAACGTGTAAAAATATAGCCAAGTTCAAATGTTGTATTGTATTCTTTAGTCAATGTTTTACTTGTTAGATTAGGTACTTTTGTAGTTGAGAAAATACCAGTGGCATCCATTTCTCTGTATTTTTGGTATGATATGTCTTTTATATTCATATCTTTGTTTAACTGACATTCATTAATCACCTTGTATATTGTGGGTGATTCCATTTCCACTGCTATTACTTGAATTCAACCTTTAACCATCTTATCTAGATGGTTTCAATAACTTTTTAATTCTTTCTGCTTACTCACCCCCTACTTTTTTTTTTAGGACTTAAAAGTTGTTTTTTTACGGTTATAGTTGAACAAGAAAATGATAGCAATGACAGTAATAGCCAACAATGAGTATGTATGTATTATGTGTCAGGCACTGTTCTGGGTGATTTACAGATATTGACTCTAACCTTCATACTAACTCCACAAAGTTCATGCTATTCTCACCATTTTCCTGATAAACAGAGATAAAGAGAAGTTCAACAGCTTGACCAAGGTTACTGATTTAGGCACTAGTGGAACCCAGATTTGAACTTAGGCATTCTGACCGGAGTTCAACAGACATTTAAAGACATTTAAGTAGGATAGATGAAGAAGTACATTTTGCTACTTGCCTTCAAGGCCTTGGTTTGTAGTTATTTTTAGTGTAATGTGGTTGCATAGCGTATATAATAGAGCAGTCTCTGCCACACACAGTGAAGTGACTCCGCTTTTGTAGTTCTCAGATGTGAAGAAGAGCCTCTGAAATTTAAGTGCTCAGAGTAGTGTCAGCAAAAGGGGACCACAATGGACAGGTACAGTGCAGGTTTCTCCTTGTGACTCTGATCTGGTCATTGATTTGATACCATCCCAGGCATGTCCATGGATCAAAAGGTACTGGTAAAATGAAAGCCCAGTTGCTACTGCTCTGCTATAAATATGAGTGATCTGAACGATGTGTTATGATGTTAGGTATAGGATAAGAGTCACAAATAATTCATAAAAGTTGAGTTTTTTTCTCCATATTTATAAATGGTATGAACAGTTACATAATTAATATATTTATTTTACTCTAGCATAAGTTTGTTAACAAGTTAACTTTATTCTGGGTTAAAAATAAATACTTTCAGATACTGAAACTATCTATTGATTGATAACTATTATAGTGTTTGATATCTTGCACAGAAACAGTGCTAAGAACCTGAAGTTGATGCTTCATTCTTTCCTGATTTTTGCTCGGTAAAGGTAATGTCATGGCCTGACGGTAACTGTTGCTATATTATGTGAACAGAGATATATGGGATATAGTTTCTAAGTCAGAAGTTCACTTAAAATTTAATATTGTTGAAACTTCAGTGAATCTCAGTGTGTTTATATATATATTTTATATATGTATATATTTTTTCTAGGCTTATTGGCGTTCTTGTGCTATGATGATGGGCTGTGTGATAGAGAGGGCATTCAAAGATGAATATATGGTCAATTTGGTCAGAGCTCCAGAAGTTCCTGGTAATGTACACATATAAATATATGTTTTTTTATGATCCTTAAATATTTTGGTACCTATTTTGGTTTAGTTCTAATTTTGTCTAATAAAAATTACCATTATACATATGTTTCATTTATCATGGGTAACAAAATCCATCTTAATATGATGAAATATGAAGTAGCCTTTGCAGGTTAATAATTAACATCATAGAATTACTAGGAATTGTTTGTCTTGAATTTGAATTTCATGGAATTCCATGATCTCAGTGTTTGTTTATTTTTCACAATTTTAAGCATATATTTCCAAATGGGGTGTGTAGAGGAGGAGAAAATGTGAGTGTAAGTAGATTGCTGGAAAGAGCTGTGCTTAGGTGGTTTCACCAGACATGACCATGACTCTGGAGAGAGACACCATGTTGGCCAGGTGAAAGGGTGTAGACTCTGTAATTTTGCTAAAACTAGGATTTTGTAATAGTGAGTATGGTAGGAGCACATGTATAATTTTTTTTTTTCTTGAGATGGAGTCTCGCTCTGTCACCCAGGCTGGAGTGCAGTGACATGAGCTCGGCTCACTGCAAGCTCTGCTTCCCGGGTTCAAGTGATTCTTCTGCTCAGCCTCCTGAGTAGCTGGGATTACAGACTCCCGCCACCATGTCTGGCTAATTTGTGTATTTTTAGTAGAGGCGGGGTTACAGACTCCCGCCACCATGTCTGGCTAATTTGTGTATTTTTAGTAGAGGCGGGGTTTCACCAGGTTGTCCAGGCTGGTCTTGATCTCCTGAACTTGTGATCCGCCCACCTTGGTCTCCCAAAGTGCTGGGATTACAGGCATGAGCCACCATGCCTGGCCATATAATTTTTTTTTTAAACAAGTAGGTATACCTAAAATATTTGAAAGAAAATCAAGGAATGATTCTAAGAACAAAACACCAGAAATAAGATATTTAGGGGATATAAAAGACATTTAGCATTTCCTATCCTTCTAGTAGATAGGAAGCAGATAGTTACCTATCTACTTCCTAAATATCTTGTTCTTTGGGATTTTTTTTTTTTTTTTTTTGAGATGGAGTCTCATTCTGTCACTAAGGCTGGAGTGCAGTGGCGTGATCTCCGCTCACTGCAACCTGTGCCTTCCAGGTTCAAGTGATTCTCCTGCCTCAGGCTCCCGAGTAACTGGAATTACAGGCTCCTGCCACCATACCCGGCTAATTTTTGTATTTTTAGTAGAGACAGGGTTTTACTGTGTTGGCCAGGCTGATCTTGAATTCCTGACTTCAGATAATTCACCTGCCTTCGCCTTCTGGAATTTTTATGTCTGGTAACTGTGTGAAATCTATATGGTAATAGCATTTTTGAATAAAACTTCACTGTTTAAACAATATTAGTGATTTGGGGTTAACAATCTTTTGGCTAAGGGAAATTTGATAAAGCTCTGGCAAGCCGCTGGAATAATGGCAACGATTTTGTAATTTGTAGTCTTAGGAGAGAGTGCTAATCCTTCACTCTGTGGTCTAAATATTCAGTCGTTGCAAATTAGTAACTTTCTGTTAGGGCAGGTTTGACTTTGTTTTTTATTTTGGTTGGATTTACAGTAATTTCTGGTGCCTTCTGTTATGACGTAGTTTTGGATAGCAGACTTCATGAGTGGATACCAACAAAAGTAAGTATGTTCTTCTGGAATATTAATTTTAGATCTTCTGGAGTATTAATTTTAGAGTCTCTACCTTTGTTAGAGTGATTCCTATGTTAGTATTGTTGAATGGTACTGTACATTGAGGACATTTAAAAAAACCTATTTATTATCTATCTACTGTCTGTCTGTCTGCTATCTATCTGTCTATCTGTCTGCCTGTCTGTCTGTTTATCTATCAGTGTTGTTGCTTTTTCAGCATATTTAAGACAGGTATATGAATGAGAGTATTTACATCAACATGGTCAGTTGTCTTGAAACTTTATGTCCTCTTTTACCTTTTCTTGATGTGCCTTCTAAGTGGTTTTAAGGTAGTGGTTTTCAAGAGGCCCAGAATAGAAAATATAAAAACTTAACTATCTTGACTGATATGGGGGGCTTGGAGCCCTACCTGTTTGTATCGCTGGATCACAATTTGAAAACCACTTCCCTAAGCCATTTTAACTTGTTGCATACTGTGAGATCCCTGTATATACAAGGGTCACATTGAGAGCTGGGTGAATTAAACAGTCAGACTTTGACAAAGCTAACCCAAGCATCAACAAACCAAATATTAACAAACTGAGCTCTTTGTGAATGCTCTGCCTTGGTAATGAGGATGGTCCTTGTTGGTTTGGGACTTGGGTAGCAACAGGGCCTAACAAGGACGGTATAGATCAGGTGCTCAGTAGGTAAGGGGTGCTGATGGTTATCAAAGATCAAGCCTGGAGATGCAGTTCTGATTGGGGAAAATAGGCAGATACCTAATTCTTAATTAAACAAGGCTATATGTCCTACATAATGGGAATCTGGAGATCTGAAAAGGGGAAGCAGTGTAGCACATCATTTTATCAATTCCACTGTGTACATTCATTTTACACTTAATATCTCTGAAAATAGATGAACCTTATAGTAGATGGTATCTTGCAATTAAAATTTGTAGTTTTTTTTTTCCCCCTTAGTGATACATCTTAGATTTAGTGAAGCCGGGCATGGTGGCTCATGCCTGTAATCCCAGCACTTTGGGAGGCCAAGGCGGGTGGATCACGAGGTCAAGAGATCGAGACCATCCTGGTCAACATGGTGAAACCCCGTCTCTACTAAAAATACAAAACATTAGCTGCGCATGGTGGTACGTGCCTATAATCCCAGCTACTCAGGAGGCTGAGGCAGGAGAATTGCCTGAACTCAGGAGGCGGAGGTTGCGGTGAGCCAAGATCGCGCCATTGCACTCCAGCTTGGTTAACAATAGCGAAACTCCGTCTCAAAAAAAAAAAAAAAAAAAAAAAAAGATTTAGTGAAATACTGTAGTAGTTCTTAAAAGCCAGGATTTTGGAGTCAGGGCAGATCCAGCTTTACATTTGGCCTTGGAAATTACTTTTTGTATAATTCTGCCCATATTACATATTGAAATAGAGAGAAGAGGGAATCAAGAAAGAATGAGAAAAAGGGAGAGGGAAGCGAGAGAGAGAAGAGGATGGGCAGGGGGAGGGAAGGGATTCAAACTGTTTCTTCATGACCTCTGGGCCCCTGTCAGTGAAGCTTCTTCCTTTTCAACTATGTCTCCAAATTGAAGATTTTCTTTACTTGAGGGGAGTTAGGTAAAAACTAATGAGGTCAAGCTTTAATTTTCCTTATCTATGAAAAAATGTAACTGTCTTTTTCTTTGTTTCGTTCTTTCTTTCTTTTTTTTTTTTTTAATAGATGGTGGTCTCACTGTGTTACCCAGGCCGGCCTTGAACTTCTGGGCCCAAGCAATCCTGCCTCAGCCTTTCTATTAGCTGGGGCTGCAGGTGTATGCCATTGTGCCTGGCTTTTGCGTTTTTCTTTTTTAAAAGATAAAACCTTATAAAAGAAATATGTCAGCTGATTGCAGACTGCATGGAGTTGGGTTGAGTAGACAGCTTAAAGAAAGTAGGGGAGAATTACATTGAAGAAATTGTTGTGTTAAACCATGAATGTGGATTTTTTTATATAGTAAATTATTCTTTATAGAGAAGTTATTTCATATAAAAAAGTCTAATAGGATTTTTATGGAAATAATTTTATTATAAAAATTATTTGTGTAATAGTACTTGGTCTTTTCTGTATTATTAATGATTTATAGCATGAAAGCTCAATTAGAATTTGTATTAAAAATCTTATAAACATTGTTAATATGTATTAATCATTTTAATTGTGTAAAATTGACATTTTTATTAAGCAGAAACTTTTGATACTGGACATATGCTATACTTTGTACGTGGTCGGTGATGATGTTACATTTCTAGCGAAACTTTCTGAATTATGAAAACAATTTTTTCCCTATGCATTTAATAAACTTAGTTTTATTCATAGTGTAAATACATTTTTATGCCTTGCTAGTTGTTTATTGGCATTTTTACTTGCTGCATCATAGCTTTAATAAACATTTTAAGGTTATATAATTTAGATGAAATTATAATATAATTTGGATAAAATTTCTTTATAGGTTTATCTTTAATAATATTCATGCAGGCTGACACCTTAAATACAGGTAAATAAAAAGTTTTTTAGTTTATGGTCCAAAACTTCAGTTGTTGCAAATTAATAACTTTCTGTCCTAACAAATTTGATTTTGTCTTTTATTTTAGTTGGATTTGCAGTACTAAGCATAGGGTTTTGTCTTAACTGGCTTATGGAGAAATGCTTTTCAGTAAATTGTTTCTAAAGGTTATTACTTTCATTTTTAAGGAGAACTTACGATCCTTCACAAAGGACGCTCATGTTTTAATTTATAAAGATCTTCCATTTGAAACTCTGGAAGTTGACGCAAAAGTAGCATTGGAAATATTTCAACACAACAAGTAAGTGTAGGCTTTCTTTAAATTAAGGCTAACTCTCCCAGTATTATATGTAATGAAGAAAATTCAGGTCTTAAGAATTTTTATATTTGATATACACATGACAGTGTATTGTTTTCCACTCCAAGACCTCTCTTTCTGCAGTAGGAAGTTTATTTATTTTTGTTGATCTCATTTATTTCGCCGAGAATAATGTTCCCCACCTCCCTTGATAATTTTCTCACTTTGTTTTACTTCTTTGTTCTTGGACCAGCCTTTCTCATTATATCAACATAGTGGTATGTTTCCTTTTTTTCTTTCTATGGTGAAGTGATAACGTATTTAAGCCACTATATAATTTTGTGTATTTGGCAGCACTTCTCTCCTACCCCACCACACTTAAAATGGCATTGGTGAGATTGAAAATGCAAGCAGTTTGGAAGGGGGCTAACAGCTGAAGTAAAATGTTTACACAGCCAGTCTTAGTCTTCTGCATGTGAATTATTCATTTGATGGATTTTCCAACATTTTAATTCCTGTCTGCCTTCTCAGTTTTCACTCAGAAAACTTTCAGTTCACCTTCTACTACCAGTTAAAATAAACTAAATTTTAGTATTAGTCTAATAGAATATTAGAACTAATTAGAAAGAGAAATCTGTGCTGTAAAAAAAAAAGAAAGCTAACAGGTACTAGAGTCTGAAACCAAAATACGCACCTACAAATTGTTAAAAGTTACAGATTAGAATTTCTTTAGGTATATAGAAGTTGAATTACAAATTCTCATAGGGATAGTTTGTCATAATATGTTGGTTTAGTTACGAGTGTCTTTTTGACACATACTGTATCGCTTGGCATTTCTCAGAGCAATCTGTCTCATAATATTCTTCCATAAGATGTTGATTGACATGCTGAAACCATGTACTGTGTTAAGCTGAGTTTGAAGAACGGTGGCTTGAAAAATTTTACCCAGTGCACTCAAGGGTCTCCCAAAGTGGACACTGAAAATTTCCCAAATGTATTTGCCTATAAAACACTTTTTCCTGAAACATTTTTAGCATGTCCTGGAATCAGTGGACTTAGAAATCAATTATAATGTACTGTTTTAACTAAGTACAGATAGTATTGTAGAACCAAACCACCATTTATAGCATTGATTCTACAAGAAAATTCTTTGAACAATCCAAACACATCAAATCACTCTCTGTGCCAAAAGTCTAGGCACGTTCTACCCAAAAGAAATATAATATGAGATGTCTGTATAATTTGAAATTTTCTAGTAGTTACATTGAAAAAAAGTCAAAAGAAAAGGTGAAGTTAATTGTAATGTTTTTATTTAAATGATACATCTACAATGTTATTTCAGTATAATTATTAAAATATTGATGTTATTTTATGTTCTATTTCACTGAAATCTTCAGAACCTTGTATGTGTTTTACACTTAAGGCACATTTTAACTAGTACTAATCACATTTAAGGGCACCGTAGCTACCTTACTGGACAGTGTACTGTTGACTTCCATTCAGTATACATTGAGATTTTCCATTCCTCTATCTAACTGTCAAGGACTGGTAGGGGCTTCTGGGACTTTTTAACTTGGTTGAGTGTGTGGTAGGAGGAAGGGGATAATTTTGGAGGAAGTTTGATAGGACAGAATGGTTGGATCATTGAAGGTGGGTCAATGATTGAGCCTTTCTGCTGCAGGGGTAAGGGTGAGACCTTTTTGTGGGTTTGACTCACAGAGGACAGGAGCATCTCTTGGAGGTGGGTTAGGAGGGACAAGTATTCAAGGGAATTAATTGGTCCCCTTATTAATGCATGGGGCACTATAGCAGTCAGTGGATGTTTTTGCATAAACCAGTGTTCCCCAACTTTGCCGCATTGTGCATACACATGTGTGCACACGTATATGTATTACTTGTTTAGCACCCTGGGTAAACAGATAAAGCTCTCAATAGTATGTGGTAAAGTCATGGTTTGAACCTGGGCTGTGCAGTTTCATCTGTGCCTTTGGCTAAACTTACAGAATGGGGTAGATTTGAGAGACACTGGGAAGTAAAATTGACAATTTGATAATGAATTGAATGTAGGGGATGTGGTGGGAGAAAGGAATTAAGGAAGTATCCCATGCTTTTCACATGGACATCTGGGTGTTTGGTGGTATGATACTAAGATAGGAAATTCAGAAGGAAGAACAAGTTTGGTTGGGGAAAGAGGTGGTAATTTGTGCAGTTTGCAAATTTCAGGGTAAGGTGCTTGTGGAACATCCTAGAGGATGTCCAGATGGGTCTCGGATATACAGTTTGGTGCTCAGAAGAGGTAGGTAGATTAGAAGCAGAGATATAGGAAATATAAGTACTTAAATTGTAGTACAAGGAACTGGCCTAGGGAGGATGCTTAGAGTGAAAAGAGTGTGTAGGATAGAATTCTCAAATAGAGAAAGACAACAGTGGCCCGAGATGTAAAATAACAAGCAGTAAGGAATGCCAGTGATACCCATGGAAAGAGCACTTAGAAGCTGGGTGTGGTGGTTCATCCCTATAATCCCAGCACTTTGGGAGGCTGAGGCAGGAGGATTGTTTGACGCCAGGAGTTTGAGATTAGCCTGGTCAACATAGCAAGACCCTATATCTAAAAAAAAAAAAAAGAGTTATTCCAGCATGGTGGTCACAACTGTAGTCTGAGCTTCTCGGGTGGCTGAGGCAGGAGGGTCACTTGAGCCCAGACGTTTCAGGCTGCAGTGAGCTATAATTGCGCCACTGTGTTCCAGGGTGGGTGACAGAGCAATAAATAAATTGAAAATGGAAAGAAGGAACACTTTGAGAAGTGGAAGTGAGCATTGGTATTAAGAAAATGAGGACCAAAAAGTGTCCATTGGGTTGACACCCACCAGGTACCTGTGATTTTGTTGAGAACAGTTTGGCAGAGTCATGGGGCTGTAGCCAGATTAAAGGGAGGAGAGGAGGGAGGTTCCAAGTGTAACCCACTCTCAAAAAGTATGGCTGAAGAGAAAGGGAAGTATCTTTAAACACCTTTTTACATATTTAGAGTTAAAAAATTTTTTTTTTCTTTGTTGCTTTTCAGATACAAAATAGATTTCATCGAAGAGAAGGCATCTCAGAACCCTGAGAGAATAGTCAAGCTACACAGGTAAAGTAAAACTCTAAAAACTGGCTGCTGTGTTAGAGTAAGGCTTAACTTTATTGTTATCCGAATAAAGCATATGACCAAAATAGATGAATTTGTACCTGATTTTGTTCTTATTACTTTGTTTTCTGTTGCTTTGTTCATTGTTTTCATATGGTGGTAAGTGAAAACTCTAAGTTAGCTTCAGGAACACTTGTTTTCTGTTCCTCATTTTATTGTTTGCTATTTTTATTTAATTTTGAGTTGAAAACCACTGTTTAAAAAAAATGTAATTTTTAGGAATTTTGAAATTGGGTAAGATAGTCATTGTTATGAATTGAACATGATAATTCATATGCATACAGAAATTTGCATTTTGACTAGTAATTAGTTATGATACATGTAAGTTTAAGTCAGACTGTGCTTTCTGACACATGGATGAGAAAGTTCCACTGCTTATGATGATGTTCTCCCATGGGGAGCAAGTCCCAATGCATTCTGTAGAAATGACTTTGTGATCAGGATCTGTTTTCTCAACCTCATGTTTTTATGAATTGGATTTAACTTTTTTCCTCTAGAAACTGCTTTTTGTTTCTGAACACATTCTTATACACTGAATTCTAAACTCTGTTACGTGGATTATTGTAAGGTTTTTAGATGATTAGTTTTAGGCAATTGGATCTGGGATCTGCTTGATAGCATGATGTATTGTGTGACTCTTAAAGATCTTTAAATTATATCAATGATAATTAAGAAAATGGTTCATTTGATTTAATTTTCAAAGTTTTAGTCTTTTTACTTGAGATCATTTTCAGGGGTCATTAGGAATTGAACTGAACCATATATAACATTCTTGATTAGGGTGTTAGCAAAGAGAATGAAGAGATATCTTTTTCAAGCTATTACAAATTATTTGATGTTGCGGTTTTGTTTATTTTTAAATAAATCAGAATAGGTGACTTCATTGATGTGAGCGAGGGCCCTCTTATTCCAAGAACAAGTATTTGTTTCCAGTATGAAATATCAGCAGTTCACAGCCTTCAACCCACCCAGCCAAGTCTCATACGAAGATTCCAGGGTCTGTCTTTACCCGTTCACTTAAGAGTAAGTAAAGCTTAAGGTTCCAGGACTTCCAGTTTGGGTATAAATATAATTTTGGACTTGATTTTATACTAGTGTGAAGAATATAAACTTTTAATTTTTCTTAAGTTGTAGGACATTAATATTTTGTAAACTCAGATTTGCGACTAAAAACAAAGTTGGCCAGTGCGTAAAATACACAATTACAAAAGAAATATTAGTTAAAAAAATTAAATCAAATTGAGATAGCATTTTTAATTTTCCAAATTAGCTTAGGTGAGGGTGCATTGGCAGAGGGAGTATTGGAGTGCATATTGGTAAGACCTTTCTGAAATGCCTTTTAAGCTTATTTGGCATGCTCTTCCCTCTATTCATGACCCAAAGCCTGTCATTTTCAACATTGTTCCCCCCCTTGCTAATCTTTTAATTTAAATTTTTGATGTTGAGATAATTGCAGTTATAAGACAAATATAGAGAGATCCCATGTACTTTTACTTAGTTTCCTCTTGCAGTACTAAAATACAATATCACCGCAATACAATGTGGTGATTGTTGGCATCAATACAATGAAGATACAGAACAATTCCTTCACTATGGGGATCCATCATATTGGCCTTTTATGGACACACTCATGTACAGCCACTTCCCTCTGTTGCCCTCCATTACCCTTCCTGCTTACCCCTGCCAACTACACATCTGTTTTCCTTTTCTATAGTTTTGTCACTTCAAGAATATTATATGAATGGGATCAAACAGTATGTAATTTTTTGGCATTGGCACTTTCACTCAGTATAATTCTATGGAGATTCATCCAAGTCATTAGGTGTATCAGTAGTTCATTCATTCTTATTGATAAGTAGTATTACTAGGTCTGGATGTATCACGGTTGGTTTAACTATTCATTCATCAAAGGACATCTGAGTTGTTTTCAGTTTTTGGCTATCACAAATCTGCTGTGACCTTGTGTGCAGGTTTAGGTGAATATTTCTCTAGGATAAAATACCCAGGAGTGCAATTGCTGGGTTATGTGATAAGTGCATGTTTAGTTTTTTAGAAACAGCCAAAGTGTTCCAGAGTGTCTATACCATTTTACATTCCCACTAGCAACGTACGAGTGATCAGTTTTTCCACATCCTCACTAGCATTTGATGCTGTCACTACTTATTTTTGTTTTAGTCTTTCTGATACATTTGTAGTGATTTCTCATTGCAGTTTTAATTTGAATTTTTCTATTGACCAGTGGTGTTGATCATCTTTTTGTGTACTTATTTGTGATCTACATATCTTCATTGGTGCAATGTCTGTTTATGTCTTTTGGCTAGTATTCTAATTAGATTGTTTTACTTTTTAACAGTTGAGTTTTAAGAGTTCTTTATATGTTATAGATGTTAGTTTTTTGTTACATATGTAGTTTTCAGATTTCCCTTGTTTTCTGTCCGTACCTTGTATTTGTATATGTGGCTTGTTTTTTCGTTCTCTGGGCAGCCTTTTGGAGAGCAGAAGTTTTTAATTTTGAGGAAAGTAGTTTATCAAAATTTGATAATATTTTTATTTTAATGGATTATGTTTTTGGGGTTAATTTTAAGAACCCGGACTAGCTCCAGATCCCAAAGATTTTCTCCTTTTTTTTCCTGCCAAAAAGTTTTAGAGTTTTACATTTATTTAAATCTGTGGTCCATTTTGAGTTAATTTTTCTGTAAGTTTGAGATTTAGGTTTAGTTTATTTTTATTTTTTTGCCTGTAGATGTCAAATTGCTCCAGCACCATTGGTTGAAAAGGCCACTCTTCCTCTACTGAATTACTTTTGCATCTTTGTTAAAAATTAGCTTGGCATATTTATGTAGGTCTATTTTTGAGTCCTCTGTTGTGTTCCATTGATCACGTATGTTTACATCAAGACCAGTACCACACAGTCTTGGTTACTGTAGCTCTAAATAGGTTGTGAAATCAGGTAGAGTAATTCCTCCCTTGTTAACTGTTTTTGATCAAGATCGTTTTAGCTATTGTAGTTTCTTTGAGTTTCCGTTTAATTTAGGATAATATTTTCTATGTTGAGTCTTCTTGAGATTTTGATAGGAAGTTCATTAGACCTGTATAGCAATTTGGGGAGAATTGACATCTTTAATATGTTGAAATTTCCAGTCTATGAACTTACTGTATCTTCTTATTTATTTGTATCTTCTTTCATCTCATTTTGTAATTTTTAGTACACCTCTCCATTACATTTGACTTTGACTTTTCTCCACATACTTGCCTCCTTTCCTAGCCTTCCCCACTTGAGAAAATCTGATCACCCTTTACCTCAAGCTTGTCCAACCTATGGCCCGTGGGCTGCATGCGACCCAGAACGCCTTTGAATGCGACACAAATTCTTAAACTTTCTTAAAACATTATGAGATGTTTTTGCAATTTTTTTTTTTTTTTTTTTAGCTCATCAGCTGTCATTAGTGTAGTATATTGTATGTGTGGTCCAAGACAATTCTTCTTCCAATGTGGCCCAGGGAAGCCAAAAGATTGGATATTCCTGGTTTCCCTAGTTGTTTGAGGTAATCCTTGATTCTCTTTTCCCCTCGTAGTCACGCCCCCTGCCCATCCATCAGCAAGTCCTTTCAGCTTTTAACTCTGAAATGTATTCTGAACCTATGTACCTCACAGCATCTCATCTACTGCTGCTTCCCTTATCCAAGTTCCTGTTTTCACTCTCCTTCCTTGCTTTCACTCTTGCCCTCTACAGTGCATTCTCTGCTTAGTAGCCAAAGCGATCTTATTTTATTTTTAAAATTTATTTGTTTTACTTTAGGTGCATACTATATCTGGCATCAAAGTCATCTTTTTAATACACAATCTGTTACATACTTCCTCTGGCCCAAACTTTCCAATGGCTTCCCTTGAACAAATCCCAACTCTTTACTCTGTCTCACAAAGCCCTGCAGTATCTGGTCCCTGCCTGCTTCTCTGACTTTATCTGACACCACTCCCTTCCTCACTCACTATATTCCAGCCACAGCTTAGGGTCTCTGTACCAGCAGTTCATTCTGCCTGAGTCAGAATGAAAAGGGAAAACATGGTTTTCCCTTTAAACAGACCAGGTAGCTCTTTTCCTAGAAGGGTTCGTATGTCGAAATTTAGTAATTTTACCTTTTATTATAGATTTTATGAGCTCATTTGGTGTGAAATAGTCACTGGCCTGCCCATATGCCTTGATATCACTTTCAGTTGACCTAATAAAATTGACGTGGTCATGATATACTTTGCACAGTTTTCATTAGTGCATTCTGATAATCCTCTGCTGCAGGAGATTGTTAAGGGCTTAGGAAATTGAGTTTAAATTTTACTATTGTTTCGGGAGGCTGAGGTAGGAGAATCGTTTTAACCTAGGAGGCAGAGGTTGCAGTGAGCTGAGATCGCACCACTGCACTCCAGCCTGGGCAACAGAGTGAGACTCCATTTAAAAAAAAAAAAAAAAAAAAAAAAGACTATTGTGTTGTTGGTTTTACTTATTCTTCAGGGTCATTTGCTGAATTCTCTGGTTCTGCCATTTCAGTGTGAAGATGTCACAGTTGGTTTTTAATGACTGACTTCTTGTGATTGCTTATGATTTGAAGAATGACTTCTAGAAGGTTGAAATTGGCTATTTAAGGATTGAACCACAATCTATGGGAAAGTAGGGCAGATTTTTGCTTCCTACTAGAAGGAATGCTTTCTATGATGGAAATGATTAAGAGAGGCAAAAGTGGAATAAGGACACATTCAATCCTTAAGTCTTTTTTTTTCTTAAATGCTCACTGCAACCTCCACCTCCTGGATTCAAGCGATTGAAGAAAGTGAAGAACAAAGCAGCTGTTTTATGTAGTACTTTTTTCTCCCTACTGTGATCCACTTTCATAACCACTTAGCTATATTAGTCCTATCTTTTAATTGTTTTGTTCTAAAAGCTGTGTAAAGACTCTATCCCTTTTACTTTGATTTTACTACTTTTTTTTAGTTCATTGCAAATCTTTTCTTTTCAAGGCACATTTTACGATATGGGATAAGCTGTTGGAAAGATCTCGTAAAATGGTAAGTGTTTTTGACAGCTAATTTGTACCCTTCTATAAAGAAACTCGTCAAAATTAATCGATAACAACCAAAGGGGGGAAAAATGAAAGAAGCAAAGAGAAAGGAAAAAGTAAGTTGTTTCAGTAGTCAAAGCAGTATTTTGATTGTTAACTCCAGTAGTATTTTGGTAAGACTAAAGTTTTAATTTGGCAGTTCTCTTGCTTTTATTTATTAATATCAAGAAAATGATATTGTAGAACTTGAGAAATAAGAATATTATGCAATAGTAATAGTTCTTAATAGTTATAATGGTATCATTTAGGTCTTAGGATTTTTTTTTTGTAAACTTAATGAATATTTAAAGGATTAAGATTTGTCAGATATATTTTAAAGCTTCCTTAGTCATTGACATTAAATGTACAAATGTCCTGAAAAATCAGATTTGAATGTTTGTGTTTTTGTGGCTTATTCTATGTCATTAGCATTTATACTTCATGAGTATGAGTGATTGTATTTCTTGACCACAACTATCCCTGTCCCCTATTTCATAGGCTAAGTGTGCCTCTTTTACTTAAGTTATCTCATGGCTATCGCATGTAATCTGGCCTTATTAGGCCTTCCCCTTTATCCTAATTTCCCACAATGCCACAAACACTCTGTTTGCAGGCACATTAAGCATCACACATCAAACTTACTTTCAGGTTTGCATATTTCTTCATGATTGTTTTTCTTTCTGGACACCATTTCCCATTCTCTTTCTGTCTCTTTACAACACAGTCATTCCTCACTGCCTCGCCCGAGTCACACCTTCTCCATGCAACAGTCTCAGAGTAATCTCCTAACAGATAATTACCCATTCAAATAAGTTTGTACTTGATTGTATACCTCAATGTATGTTTTTTGATTGTTTTCTTTGCCAGTACATTTATCTTCTGTTTGTTAATCCTTTCAGGATTTGTTATGTTTGTATAAGCCCAAATTCTGAACACATTAGCACATGAGGGGGTTCCCCAAGAAATATTTATTGACTATTTTTCATAATGATATATAAACGTAGTCTTTATTAATGACCATATCGATAGGAATTATTATTTAGGGACTTCATAATATTCTGGTGTAAGCATTATGTAATTTTTTTTCTCATGAGAAGAAAGTATCTGAATGGATGGAGTAATTTTCTCTTTTTAGTTGGTCACAGTGATCATTTTAGATTAAGAAACTGAAAAAGAAATGTTCAGCATGGTTACTTGGCGTTAACTAAAATTAAAAAAAACTTGAAACTGAAGAAGAAATGAATATTTAAGAAATAGTTTGGGAAACTAAAGAAGCAATAGTAACTGAACACTTTAAAAGAAGGAAAAATGGAGAAAAATGGCAGAGACAGTATCTTATTTAGAATATCTAATAATGTTAGTCAATACATATTTTTCAAACATTTATTCTTCTTTAGTTGCTTTTTTCTACTGTGCATTTTGCTTTTCTGAAGGGATTAAATACGTGGTTCATTGATTCAACATAGACTTACTGATTGTTTACTGTGTGCCAGGTACTGTTATGGTCTGGAGGAATAAAAAATGAACAAAATGTACTTGCTGCCTCAGGGAAATAATGTTGATTGGATAATTAGACTTATAAGCAGACAGTTCAGATGTACTTGTGGGGCTCTGGCATAAAGAAGAGGACTCAGACCAAGCTGGGGAGTTGGCTAAGGAAGGTTGGCAGGAATTGGGGTCCCTTAAGCTCTTTTTAAAGGATGAATAAAAGTGAACCATGCAGGTAATCCATTGGAGAATGGGTTAGAGGTTGTCTCAGAGGAAGCCACTTTCTTACAGGCATGAAGGAATAGAGAACATGATAAATGTGAGATGAATTTGAATGCACAGGTCACGTCTAGGGTAGCTAATGAGTCTGTCCAAAAACAGAATATGAGGGGGCTTGTGTTCCTTGTTGTGGACTTGCATTCCTGACTTTCTTCTTCCACCCCACTGAGGTGATAGCGAGTGACTGGAGAATTTTGAGTAGGGAAGTGACCTGTTGATCAGCTATTCTTGCTTAAAAGCTCATTCTATGGGTAGCATGGAATATAGCTGTGAACTCTTAAGCCACGGGTTTTGTTAGGGAATAGAAGAGGAACAGGTCCTAAAGTTCAGCCATGATAGGGAGAGCGACTGTGAGAGTTAACTTAGATTGAATTAATAGGGCTGTTGATGGAATATGCAGGTAAGAAGAAGAGAGTGAATTCTCAAATACTGTCCTTAGTTAGCTGGGTAGAGCCCTTTACCAAGATAGATGATGCAGGCAGGACAGGTTTTGGAGGTGTTGAATTCGGATTTAGCCATGTCTGTTTGATGAGTCTGAGTGACATAGAATAGAAATAGGGACATGGAGATATCTATTTAGACTAAATCTGTAATATGCTGTATTCTAAATGGAATTATACTGCAAAAGAAAATAAACTGATTTAAAATATCGTGTTACAGCACTTCAGGTGTTTTTTTTCTTAGTAATGATTGTGTTTTATGGCTGAAAAGTAAAATGGCAAACTTGATAAGCCTAAATATAATATGCCTTAGCTTACATTTTTGAATGGAATTATTGTTCTTTACCTGCTAATTTATATTGGTAACTTGCTGTTTAAATCTTCTTACCTAACTTTCTGTAATAATAACTATTGAAGGAGAAAGATGAGGATCATTGTAAGAGGGCCGTGGGATAATTTAAAATGGTGGATGATGCTCGCTTCGGCAGCACATATGCTAAAATTGGAACGATACAGAGAAGATTAGCATGGCCCCTGCGCAAGGATGACACGCAAATTCGTGAAGCATTCCATATTTTTAGAAAATGTGGCACATATATACCATGGAATACTATGCAGCCATAAAAATCGATGAGTTCGTGTTCTTTGTAGGGACTTGGATGAATCTGGAAACCATCATTCGGCAGCAAACTGACACAAGAACAGAAAACCAAACACCGCATGTTCTCACTCATAGGCGGGTGTGGAACAATGAGAACACGTGGACTCAGGGAGAGGAGCATCACACACTGGGGGCTTTTGGGGGGTGGGGAGTGATAGCATGGGGAAAAACGCCAGATATAGTATGCGCCTTTGCAACAGCCCTGCATGACCTGCACATGTACCCCAGAACCTAAAGTAAAATTTAAAAAAATAATAATAATAAATTAGTGAATCACATTTAAAAATAAATAAATAAATAAAATGGTGGGTGAAGGGTAAGACTGAAAGTGTTTATTAGGAAAGTAAAGCTATTCATGTTTTTACAGGTAACTGAAGATCAAACTAAACCAACAGAGGAAAGTACATCTACCTAATAACTTTCTAAAATTTAAATATGTATAATAAAATAAATGTTTTTAATATAATGTTTGTGTGTGCTTATAAAGATTAACTCTTTCTCCCTAAGATTGATAGTGAGTTTTACTTTTTCCTTTATGTTGCTCAAAATAAAAACTGTCAAAAACAAGTCACTCCCTTCCTGCTCCGTGAAAAAAACACTTTGGCATGTTTTCTCTCTCTTTTTTTTCTCATGTGTAGGCAGATACATTAGAATATAAATTTAATTTCTAAAAAACATAAATAGGATCATACTACTTGCTTGCATTTTTTTTTTTTTTTTTGCTAAACAGTGGCACGGTAAACATCCTTGTGCAAAAATGGCAAATGTTTGTAGATAAAAATGATAGTACGTATTTATTATGTGCTTGGCCTTGTGCTAAGCTCACTATGTGGAACCTTTTGTTTAATCCTCTCAGTGACCTGTTGAGAAGACGTTTCCTATTTTTTAAATGAGGAAACAGCATAGAGCTTGAAAGTGGCAAAGCAGGAAGAAAGGCAGTTTCACTCAAACATGCTCTTATATTCTACTCTACGTTGCCTCACATATAAATAATTTTGTAGGAACAGATTTCCGGCAGTGAAATTGTTCACAGGTGCTACCAGATGCTGGTTTCCCAAAGGTTTTGCCAAATGTCACTCCCAATAACAGTGTCTAAAAGTGCTTGTTTCCCCACACCTTGAGTAAGTCTTGGTTATCAATCTTACAAAAACATTTTGCCAAAAAGTTTCTGCTTCAGTGTTAGAAGTTTTCTGCTTTTGGTGCACAGGCTTCCTCTGAAGACTATTTTTTTTTTCTTCTGGGTGAGGTCAACTTTTTTTAGAGTCTGTATCTTCCTGTGTCTTGATTGACTTTCTCATTTTGCTAGCATTTGTTTCTGAGCTCCTTTCTAGGAAAAAATGTCTAAGAGGTGAGCCATTGCATGTCTAAAGTGGGTTCTGCACTTAAATTTGATGAACTGTTCAGCTAGATACAGAATTCTAGATTGAAAATTAGTTTTCTCTTAGAACTTTGAAAGCAGCTCAGTTATTTTCTGCATCTGATTTTGCTAATAAAATGTCTGATGCCGGTCTGATTCTTGTTCTTTTTTGTATGACCTGTTCTCTGCATCCCCTTCCCTCAACACACTCTGGACATTTTTAGGATCTTACTATTCTTGGTGGTGTAAAATTCTACAATCCTATACCTGTATCTAGGTCTTCAGTTAGTTACTCTGCTTGGTATGTAGGCAGTCCTTTCAATTTTTGACATCTCTCTAGGATTAGGATTTTTTTTTTTTCTTTTTTACTTTATTTGTTCTTTCTTTTCTCTGAGGGTTCTTTGTTTCTATAATACCTTTCAGTTGTGTTTGCATCTTCTGTATTGGTCCTCTTATTTTTTTTTTTTTTCCCTTTCTCCATCATTTTTCCTGCATTTATATTTTACTCATTTAATACATTATATCAAGCATTTTTTAATTTCTGAAAGCTCTCTTTTGCTTCACTTTGATAGAATTCTATTCATGTTTTCTGGATGTGATGTATTTTCATGAAGCTCTCTGAAGATGCCTAAAGTGGGTTCTGCACTTACATTTGATGAACTGCACTTATATTTGTTCGTTCATTCACTTTGTAGTCCCTGAATTATCTCTTTTCTCTGGTGACAGATTTTTTTCTTATCTTAGTCTCTCTTTTACATGTTTCAGGCTTTTTTCAAATGTCTAATGTTTGTTGGCTGTCAGTTTGTAGTTGACAATGTGGATGTAAGTAGGTTGAGTGGCAGCTCTGTGGTTAATTTAAGCAAGGGTTGGCTTCTCATGGGCATCACTAAGGATGAGTAGGTGAATCTGGCTGGTAGGATGAAGGTTTTTAAAATGATAGAATGAAGAGGTCTTGTCTTGGCTACCAGTTTCTACATTGACTATCCTAGTTTTCCTCAGGATGTTCTTTCACTTACTTTGTAAAAGATCCCACCGATATTTTGTGTGGGGCAATTCCTGGATTTAGGCCCTTCTGTATTTGAAGATGGGGTAGTGTTCAACCTGTTTGTATAGAGACCTTTAATTAATTCCTTTCTTTTTAATTAGTTTAGATTTAATTAATCCCTCTACTGTCTTCTATCATCTCTGAACTTCCACTGTCTCTGAACTAAGGCCCAGCTGGGCCGGTTGGCTGCCTCTGGTGGAATTTCCTCCACGTTTTCTAAGTGGCGATGTTCTCTAGTGTTTTATTAGTCACTTTTTGTCTTTTAGAATTTGGTCACCATCTCTTGTTGATTTTTTTTCTTCCATTCCCTTTGTTGTTTGTGAGCATACAGAAAAGTACAGAGAATAATTTCACAAACATTTTCATGCTTTTTGGGCAACTAGCACTGTTTGAACACCTGCTTTTTGGCAACTTCCCACACTATGGATCTTACCTTACCAGTAAGAAGAATGAAATTTGATTTCCTCTCCTTCCTTGCAGCCATGGCTCAGACTGGTAGCGTGGGCTCACCAATTAGACATACCTGTGTGAAATCTGGAAGCAAGTACTTTGAAGACAGGAGTAGTATGAGTTACATTTTATTGAGAGGAGCAGTGACGTGGTTTTCAAGGCAGCAGTGGCAGAGGTCCCATGTAATGGTGCAAGGTATGGAGGCTGTGCTTAGCTGTTTTTTCCCTGCAGCTGCTCCCTGGTATAAAAATGGGCATTTTTTTGGAGCCTCATAGTCCTGACTTCCAGGCCTGAGACTTGTGAGCCGTGTTTTTCTGTTTGTTTAGCTAGTGTAGATCTTGTTGTTTGTAACCAAGAATGTTGACATATAGCCACGATTTAATTGTAACCACTGTCAACCTTTTTCCTTATTTACTTGAGATCCTTTTGTGTTTAAATAAAGGAAAAGTTGCACATCCATTGAAGGTCTTGTTATGTCATTTCCTTCCTCTCAAGAAGAACCACTATCCTATTTGTACCTGTCCTTACCCTTCCTGATTTTGTATTTTTCCTACAATCCATAGTATTCTCTGTTTTAAAACGAAACATAATTGGTTTCATAATATATATCCTTTTGCAATTTGCTTTTATTGCTCAGCATTGTTTTTCATGTATAGCATGTTGATACCTGTAAAGAGTTAGTACATTCATTTCACCTGCTATATTGGTATTTCATTATATGGTTAATCCCATCATTAATTCATTTTCTTATTGATGACCGTTGAGGATATTATTGGTGTTTAAATATTGCAGTATTGCAGAAAGTATTCTTGCACATGTTATTCTTGTGTACACATTTGATAATGTCTCTAGGGCCTGTATCAAAGTGGACCATGCATCTTCAACTTTACTAAATAGTATTAATCGGCTGCTACAATAGTTGTATCAGTTTACTCTCTGTCAGCAGCATGAGAGTTCCCATGTTTTCTACTCTCATTAACGTTTATTATTTTCAGACATTAAGATATTTTGTTGGTTGAATATGCATATCCTATCTCATTTAATTTGTTTAATACTGAGCATATAGTACCAATAAGCATCTCTTCATTTCTTTTTATGAATTACCATTTTACAACCTTTGCCCCTTTTTTACAATTGGATTTTTGGTTATCATATTAATAGTAGTTTTATATGTGTGTGTATATATATATATATATATATATATATTATATATATATGTAAATATATATATTATATATATATATTTTATATATATATATATACATATAAAACTATATAGTTTTATATATATACATATAAAACTATATATAGTTTTATATATATACATATAAAACTATATATATAGTTTTATATGTGTATATATATATATAAAATATATATATATATATATTTTTTTTTGAGATCAAGTCTCAGTCTGTTGCCTAAGCTGGAGTGCAGTGGCATGATCTCGGCTCACTGCAGCCCCTGTCTACTGGGTTCAAGTGATTCTCCTGCCTCAGCTTCCTGAGTAGCCGAGTAGCTGGGATTACAGGCAGGTGCCACCACATCCAGCTAATTTTTATATTTTATATATAGAGATGGGGTTTTACCATGTTGGCCAGGCTGGTCTCCAACTTCTGGCCTCTAGTGATCCACACTCGTTGGCCTCCCAAAGTGCTAGGATTACAGATGTAAGCCATCATGCCTGGCCTGTTCTTTATATTTGTAGAAAATTAAACCCTTGTGGGCCAGGCACGGTGGCTCACGTCTGTAATTTCAGCACTTTGGGAAGCCAAGATGGGTGGATTACCTGAGGTCAGGAGTTTGAGACCAGCCTGGCCCACATGGTGAAACCCCATCCCTACTAAAAATATGAAAAACTAGCCAGGCGTGGTGGTGCATACCTGCTATTCCAGATACTTGGGAGGCTGAGGCATGAGAATCACTTGAACCCAAGAGGTGGAGGTTGCAGTGAGCTGAGATTGTGCCACTGCACTCCAGCCTGGGTGACAAAGTGACACTCCATCTCAGAAAAAAAAGAAAGTTAAACCCTTGTCACTACAAATATTTCTCTTATCTGGCTTGCCTTTTAATTTTGTTTATGCTGTCTTTAAGGTAGACTAAATAATTCATCTTTTCCTGTATGATTTATATTTATGAAATTTAAGAAAGCATTTCCTAACTTGATGTTATAAAGCAGCCTACTCTTTTAAAGTCTTGATTTTCACATTTAATTGTATAATTTATTTGAAGTTTATTTTTTACATATAGAGTGAAGAAAGGGACCTAATTTTGAATCACCCTTTCCTCCACAAGGATAGGCAGTATTCTGGACTATTTATTTATTCTCTACTCTTAATGATTATGCCATGCTGTCATACATATAACAGGTTCCCTTAAGTGCCTGGGCCTGCTTCATCGGTCCATTTGTTTGCCTATCTACCACTGTCACACCGTTTTAACAACTATAGCTTTGTAACAAGTTTTGATTTTTGGGATGGTGAGTCCTTCTTACCTATTTTTCAAAATTTCATGCTTATTGTAGGGTTGACTTGTCAACTTCTTAGTTGTCTTAAAATCTGTTTTGTCTGGTAATGATATTCCTATGTCAGGTTTCCTTTTAATAGTACATATTTTCCCGTTCCTTTCAACTTTTTCATGTCATTATTTTTTAGATTTTCTCTTAGGACCATATAGAAATCTTTTTCTTTTTTTTTTCCTTTCGTAAACCCATTCTCCTAAAATGATTGTGGATTTGACAGTTTCTTCTTATGGCTAAATCAGCATTTGCTTATTTTAAGATGATTTTGTTAGCACTTTGTATTCTGGTTTGGGATTTTTAAACATGCTGATAAATTGCTTCATTTTATCATTTAAATAATGATCCTCTCTATCTCATTAATAATGATTTTCTCCTTTAAGCTAGTTTTCTTAATCTGTTTTTTTAAAAAATCAGGTTCTGTTGTTATACTAGGTTTTTGTTAGTGTTTACCTGGTATATTCTTTCTTTCAACCATTTTGTGTTGTTAGGTTTTACGTCTGTCTTTTGTAAATAGCATAAAACTATGATTTTCCTTTTAAATCTAGTCTTTGAATTATTGTCTTTTAGTAGATAAATTTTAATTTGTATTCATTTTACTGCGATTATCATTTCTTTGCATTATTGTATTTCTCCTTTCCTGTCATATATTGGATTGATCCAGTTTTCTTTATTTTCCCTTTCTTTTTACTTTGTTTTAGAAGTTAGTATTTCACTCATAGGTGTACCATTATTTAATCTATTCCCTATTGTTGGTTGATTTTTAATTTTTGTTACTATACTAATACTTCACTTAGCAGCCTTATGCATATATGATTCCATACGTATGCTAGTGGCTCTGTAAATACATGGTTGTACGTGATTCCAGGACAACGAGTATGTGTATTTTAACTTTTAATAAATGTAGGTGATATTCTTTTAAAGATAAATTTATCCAATAAGCAGATTTTATATGTGGTTACATATACTGAAGGAAAGGGGAAATATTTCATTTTAGGAGTGGCTACTACTGCAGTGTTATTTTTAAAGCATCTCAACATTGGTTGTTATTATGTCAGGATTGCCTGTTAAAAAAATACTGAGGACAAAGTTTCATGTATTTTTAATAATGGAATTTCTTAAAGCAGACATGGATACTGCCTTCCTTATCTGCAGGATTTAGGGAAAGCCAAATTGATGCTTGAGTATCTGTAAGGAATTCATACAAGTCAACTTGAAAAACAGCTCCTGAAATTGGAACACATATATGCCAGGTACAGACAGCCCTGAACATTAGAACAATTTGAATTTCCAACATCAGTGGGTACTTGGATACATTTTCCCATTCAATTTAAGCAAGGCCCTGAGCTGGGTGTAATACCAAAAAGGTAAAAAGGATTCTCCTTTCCTACAGAAACTCAGTCTAGAAGAGAGGATAGTGTATACACAAGTAACAAACCAAACGTGGGGCACAATGCGAAGCACGTTTATGGAGGAGCTGTAATCTGTTTTGGAAGCATGGAGGAGAAAGATCAGTTCTAGCTATAACCCTTTTTGGAGTTCTTGGCATGGGTTAAGGGACCACATTGCTGAGCTACCAGCATTTGAGAAGGGACAGAATTTTCTCAAGTGGAGACTGGGTATGATTGTTGAAGTCTTACAGCAAAGGTGAGAGGGTGAGATGGGATGGCAGTGACATTCGTGGCAGTTTCATTAGTCAATCCACTTCTTGTAAGGCGAGAACTGGCACCCGATTCCTTCTCATTGACTTTCGCTCTCTGTTGCACTAGGTAGCAGCTGATAGATTGGGGTTAGTATCAGGTTATTGGCTGGTTTCAGCCAGTTGTAGAACATAGGGCAGCTGGTTTTGGGGCAGTGGGTGGGTGGGTGAGGGCTGGGGAAGTCAGGTGTATCTTATTGAGGTGGTTAGGATGGTTTTGGTGAAGAGGGATGATGAGACTTCATTGGAATTTCATTGCTGCTTATCTCCAAAGAGGTCAACCACAAGACACCTCTTATCACTCAGCCCATGTTACAGACTTTCATTACACGGTGAACAGTGTGTAAACAGATCCATATGTTGCAGCAGTTCTGCTGCACACCATTCCTAGTAGCCACATCAACAGTAGCATCATGTATAAAACCACTGTTTCCTCAGAGTTGGTTTATGAACCACCTCAATCTGAACCACGTGGTCAGTCTGGTAAAAATGTAGTGTCCTCAGCTCCATTACAGAATTAGAATCTCTGGGAGTGGGAGCCTGGGAGCTTGGGAACATGCATCTTGATAAGCTTACCAGGTGAGAATCCTTTGATCTTCAGTCATATGTGGAACTATTCATTGAATTGTCTGATGAACTTTTATTTACCAAAAATCATTTCTTTCAGTTTAGTGGTATAGTAAAAATGAAATATTCACTGTACTTAAACTCATTTCTGTTTTTAGACTTGGACTTGGAAAAGTAATGGTGTGATTAAGTCAGTAAACATTTGAGTGGGATATGAACATGCAAGATGGTGGTTCATCCCTCAAGGATATCACTTCTATTGCAGTCATTTACATCCCAAAATAAATTAGGATATGCTACGTTAAGTGCTAGTGAACTGGGAAATCCTGAGCATTACAGAGAAGGGCAAAAGAGTAATTGAATATAGAGAAGACACCATTGTGATGACATTTGAGGAACGCACCTAAAAAAATCCAGTACTTGTATGTATTAGATGAATGAAGACTAATACTAGAACACTTAGATTTGTTAAAATACAACAGTAACAGACAAAAAAATCCTTATGTGAACATTATTTCACTTAGCCTTACTGCGATTGGAGAATTTGAAACCCAAAGTGGAAAGCTAAACTCTTATGTGCAAGTTTTTCCTGCCAGTTCCACTGTTTTCCACTTATTAGAGAAGCACATGCTCTGTCAGCTTTTTGTGCTTGTGTCCTGTCTATGGGCCCTATTATTTTTCTTCAAGCTCCCTTTTCAAGTTTCCTCACTTTCTTTGAGGTATTCACTATCATCTGTTTTCAGAAAATTTCTAATATTCTATGTTCTGTATATATTCTTCAGTCCACTGACTTGACTTTTTTTTTCTTCCTCTCCTTTTTCTCCTAATTTTTTAGCTACTGGGTCTATCTAACTGATGACAGTGAATATGAAAGGCTTGGTCTTGAGTTCTGTAAATTTCTGGGGAGGTGGATCAGACGCTAGATAATTCTCAACATTTTGCAATTTAAAAAAATCTTTAGTTTGTAACTTTCTCTCTCTCTCACACACACACACACACACACACACATACACATACAGTCTCACACTCATATATATACCTTGTTACTTACCCCTTCCTCCAATCCAAACACAGACTCACTCTTACTCATGCTCCAAGAATTTTTGTAATGACTGAATGTACCAGTCAGGAGGAATCCCTCTAAGATGAGGAGGTAGGCCGTCAGAAGCCTAGGAGGGCTGGACATCAGAGAAAACCCAGGAGTCCTGGTTCTTTGGGTTGTCACCACAGGATTAGAGTTAGTTTGGAGCTAGAGTGTTCTTGGGGAGATCTGCTGTGGTAGATCACTTGATTTAAATGACTGAAATGTAAAGGTCTGAAAGTTTGTGTTTAACACTTAATGCATAATAGACATTGTGCTTTGCACATGCATGATTTCATTTAGGCCTACATCCTATGAAATATGAAATATATTCATCATTTTACTGATGAAGAAGTTGAGGCTTACAGGAAGATTAAGTAACTTTCCTAGGCTTCATGTAAGTGTACTTAAGTGCTCTTCAAATAAGGCATTTCCCAGCACAGCTTTTCTGTAAGTGCCTTTGTAATGTTCATAGCTTTTTATTGTAACAGCAGTAAAGTTATACTGCAATAGTTTATTCCAGTCCTAATGTTCTGAGACTTGGTGCCTTTAGGGAGCAAGCAGGATTTTTTTTTTTTTTTGAGATGGAGTCTTACTCTGTCTCCCAGGCTGGAGTGCAGTGGCGTGATCTTGGTTCACTGCAACCTCTGCCTCTTGGGTTCAAGAGATTCTCGTGCCTCAGTGTCCTGATTAGCTGGAATTACAGGCTTGTGCCACTACGCCTAGCTAATTTTTGTATTTTTAGTAGAGACGGGGTTTCACTTTGTTGGCCAGGGAAGTCTATAACTCCTGACCTCAAGTGATGTTCCCACCTTGACCTTGACCTCCCAATGTGCTGGAATTACAGGCGTGAGCCACTGTGCCTGGCCTGAAGAAACACTCTTGAATGTGTTCTGTTCTACCTGCATGGGAGTTCCATGGAGCCACAAGCTCATTCCAGGGGTTAGGAGAAGGAATTTATCTTGGCAGCACATACAACTTGAACAGAAAGTGGGGCAAAGCCAAGTGAGTACTCTTACATGAGAATACTGTGTCCTAGCAGTCGGGAATGTTCCCCTTAGTATCTTCATAATTTTCTTCCATTGTCTTTTTTTTGTGCAGATATCTTCTAAATTATAATTTGTACTTTGCAAAATAAAAAGCCATAAAAATTATTTTGAATCAACTAAAGACTCATGAGATTTATTTAGTTACAGTGAATAACCCTGACAAAATGTTGAGAAAAGTTGTTAAAATAAATATATATTAAATATACTAACAATTACATTTGGTTACATATTTGTAAGTGATGGTTATATAGAAAAACTGCATAGAAATCTAAACCTTAAAAAGTTTGCAAATCATAATTATCTATCTCACTTAAGCCTCACAACAACTGTGTAAAGTATTATCCCCATTTTATGGATGAAGAAACAGGCTTAGAGTGGAAAGGTGGATTCTCTGCTCACACAGCAGTATTATGTGGCTAAGCTATTGAACTTGAACCTAGGTTGGTTCTTCACTTCAAATGTGAAATTTTTTGATTAAATATTTGTATCTTGTACAGAAAAAAAAAATCTCATTAGCTTTCAGATGTTGTTTACCATGCTAATTGTTAAAAATATTCTATTTAAAAAATTCAGGGTCACAGCCTTTCAATTTCCCTTTAAGAGTCAAATAAAAGTATTAATTTTAAACTGAAGTTGTCTAAACAGGAAATTGTTACATAGGGGAAAATACCAATTTTGAAATCTTTTAAAAAATGTTGCCAGACAATCCATGATATAACTGGAGGTTAGTTGTCCTTCTAATTTTGATAGAAATTTATGTTTAGCTGACATTTCTAACAGTTGAATCAAAGGTGTTTATGAATATTACAGTGAACAAGCCAAAACAAGCCATTACAATGAACAGTTAAAAATGACATGAATACATCTTCTGTTAATGATAAAAAACAAACGTGGACTTGACGTTTAAATGAAAATGTTTGCATTTAGGATAGTACTGATAAATCTTTTAAATAACCTTATTTTTAAAACTTAGTTTAGGGTTGAACATCCCAGTGACCAGATTATGATGAACAAAATTGAAAAATGATAAAGCCTGAAGTCTTAAGTTTATCCAGCAGGGTGACTCATGCTTCTTTGTCATCCTCCCACGGCAGAAATTTGTTCCATGTGAATGCTAGTAACAGGCATCATACCCTGTTAATGCTAACATGTAGGAGTCAGTTGGAGGTAAAAACCCCTATCACGATTAGCATTAACAGCATACAGCCTTCAGCACTCAGAGGATGAGGCATAAAGAATTTAAACCACAGATTTCCCCTTCCTGGTTTGTGCCACCTGCAAGAGAGAAAGAAATGTTTGTGTATGCACATGTGGTTACAAAGCTGGAGTGAAAATATAGTAAATCTGAAAGGAAAATCGTCCATTTTCTGTTGAAAGGAGGGAGCTCATTAAATCCTAGGAAGTCATTTGTTGAGAGTGGTAGAGGAATTGGCAATTAAAACATGACATTTTTACCTTTAGGCATATTTGAAGACTTTTAAAAAAATTACTTTTTAAATTCTATTCTTTGATTTTGAACCACGTACATATGTGTATCATCTTCTTCAAAACAAAAACAAAAACTACTCTTCAAAGTTTCCAAATGCCAAAATGCAAATAGGGAAGCTTGCATTCTGACACAGTACATTTTTTTTTTTTTTCTGATTTATACTTCCTCTGGGAGCTAGACAATTAAAGGCCCAAATATTCAAAATAGTCCTTTATGATTTATAAAAATTAAAACCCAATTAACCTGTTTTACAAAGGTAGGGTTCAGGCTGAATTTTTCATTCTGTAATAAATCGTTGAAGTTTTACCTTTATTCTTTCAGGAAATATGACACAAGCAGTGGTGGTTTGACTACAAATGAACCTATCTGAAAATGTCCCCATCTGCTATTTAGAGATTCCTTTGGGGAAAGCATTACCCAGTGGCTTTGGTTTTGACTACATAAAGGAAGTATGACTTAAAGAGTCCTCTGTGTTTTGAACTACGTGTCTTAGGCAAAGGGTTGATTAAAAAAAAGAACAAGATGAATTTGCTACTTCCTTTTAGAGTCTGATTTTACTCTCTCAGATAAAGTGACATTTCTCCCACAGGTTTCTGATTTCAGTGTTACTATAGCAGAACCTAGAAGTTAGAGTATCATTCAAGTATGTGGTCTCTTTCAGTACAAGAGGGGAATCACCTTTTCTTTTATTTAATAATGAAACCAGCTAGATATAAAAATGTGACTAAGTTCAAAAGAAACGTATAAAGTAAAAAATTCCCCAGTGAATATATTTTGACGGGGCAGAATATCGTGGTTTGGAAATTTCCAAACCATGGAAATATATCATTTTTACTGATAGTATTTTTTTTTAAACTTTGCTGTTTTCTGAGATGAATTAGTTGATGATGAAAAACTTTGGATTAGGTGATGTCATTTCAGGAATTCATTTTATAGAATTTCAGTCAATAAAGATTATAAAAATAAGGACCTTTTCCCCCCTTACAGGATCTTGGACATAGTAAATGCTCAATAAATACATATTAATAATCTAGTGTTAGTTCCTCCCTCCCTAGCCAATATAACTCAACCTTTTCTTAAAAAGATGTGTTTAATTTGTATTGAAGGTAAATTGCTTGCTTACTATTCTACACATAAATTTTACTCCTGTTCTTTAAAGGTAACATATGAGCACCAGTATTAAAATAAATATATTTAGTATAATAATTGGCTTTTTTCATCTTTTTAAATATACATGTGAATTGCCTGATTAGAGCACTCAGAAAAGTGACAAGTGTTTTTGATAATGTGTTATACTATATTAAAAATTCTAATAGCCTTTTTTTATTGGTTCAAACCCTAAATGTATTTTGAAATAAAGTGTCACACAGGTCCCTTTTGTTCTCAAACAACCTTGTCATACAGGCGTGACGAATTCCTAATGCTGCAGAGAAATGAGAAGTTTGTCTAAATATACTGTAGAATCTTAAGTCATATTTAAAACACAATGATAGATGAAAAACAGTAATGAACAGAATGAAGGAGAAAATGTCCCAGAATTGTTTTTTCTTTTTAAATTTAAAAATACTCAGTAGACTTTTAAGGACATTATAATGACCAGAAGATCATTCATCCATCGTTGTGGCATCTATGTCCACTTCCAGTGTTTTTGATTGGGCTAAGCAACCAACAACAGAATTGTTATGTGCCTGAGTGGGAATTAGTGGTCATGGACAACAAAGGCCAGTCTGTTAGCCAAGGCATTGGGCAGAGGGTGCTCTCATGAGGTAATAAGAAATGAAGTAGTTCTTTCTGAAATCAGTGTGGCCAGTTAAAGTGGCTGAGGAAGAATTATACACAATTATAGGCCCAACAATCAATAGTGACAATGCTAACCAAGGAAGACTGTGACAAGCATAATATTCAATGTATAGCAATACAAGAGGAATTTATATGAATTATACATTAGAGATTAGATTGGGGTCTTTGACTAGGTAGTTCTGCCGATATACTTCCAATCCTCTCACTCCACAATACGTCTTTTGCTTACCACATGAAATATCCATTGTCAATGTAAGCTTTACTATATAGCATAGGTTCCAAGTTAAGTGTTCTTGATAGAATTACTACTCACTGTCTGAGTATCAAAATCTCACAGTGGATAAAAATCTACCAAGAGGAAGCACTGTGTGTACCAGATTAATGATAATACCAAGTATCTTTCATTATGTGACAGGCAATTCTTCTTCTGGTAGTAAGAATGAAAGTGAAGGAAACACTTAGGGAAATTTTTCTTTAAATTATGCTTTCCTTAAGGACATGTTTTTTTTGGGGGAGGTGTGAGCATAAGATTTCAGAATCTTATCCTTTTATTCTTTTACCCTTACCTTGTTGATTTTCCAGGAAAGAAGTTATCAAAACTAATATTCAGAGCATACTGTGTCCTAAGGTTGTCATTAAAGATCTGGTTTATCCTTCAAAAAAATTTTTTTTTTGTGGTGAAATATATATAACATAAGTTTACATCTTCACCATTTTTTAGTGTACAGGTCAGCTACAGTAAACACTTGGTCATAATGTTCTGCAGCCGTCGTTGTCATCCATCTCCGTAACTCTGTCTTGTAAGGATCTCGTTTTATGTCTAAATCATAGGTTATATTGTTGCACAATTATATATATATTTTTATTATTTGGCTGCTTATTCTCAGCACCCACCATTTAATATTTGCATACCAAAGGAACTGCACACCATAAAGTTTTCTTTAAAAAAAGTTACAGTGGTCGAATTTCATAACCAAAGCGGTTGTGGGATAGCTCTCATTTTATTCACCCTGAAACATACAAATAATTTAAAACTATAATTTGTTGTTACAAAGCAAACGTACATCTATTTCTGTTGAAAGTCATCTGATATTGATGTAGCAGTACAAATTCTAGGTCCAAAACCATTTTATTAGGTGAAATGTAATGTAATTATGTTACGGAAAATTAAAGTGATTTAGTTTAGGTAACTTCCTCTAAATATTTTCCCACTTTAACATTTATGTGTACCAATCAAAAACATAATCATTAAGATGGAATAATGTTGATTCCTATTTAGATCCATTCGCTAAAAGCAATTAGCATATACTTGCATATGTGGAAGCAGTATCTGGCTTTTCTATCAGAATTTATTCTGATTCTCTATGTTCTAAAGCTGCAGTTTTGGTTTACATCATGGAAGTAAGCAGTGATTAATGCAAGTGTATAAAAATCAGGATTCTGTGACGTTTTGGACTTGTCATAATCTTTAGAATAATGATTTCTAGAGTCAAAAGTTGAAAGTCACTGTAAACGTGATGCCCCTACCACCTGCCTCTATAAAAACTCTGCATCTTTCGGAGTGTTTTCCTTCCCTTTTACTTAAGACAGAATTCCTTACCCTTAGAGCCATCTCCTTTGGGTGGGAGAGCCAAGGTGACAGGTAAGGTCTCTGGTAGGTTGTTCTTGAAATGCAGACAAGTTATCTGGGGAAAGAGGGGTGGGGTTGAAGTTGACACATCATCTTAGACTTGTTTATTAGATGAGTTAGCTAGTGATCTTTGAAAGCAGCAATCAAAGGCCGAGGAGAGAGGACCCACGATAGGTAGATTTTAATGGGAATAAAGAGTAATGTGGAGGAAAGATAAGGATATGCCCCAAATAGTTTGGTAGTTCAATAGTTTTTTATTTATAATTTCAGCTCACACTTTGCATGTCCAGCATAAACCAGCAACAAATTAAGTATTTAGACTATCATCTGAGTTTTAGTTCTCTGATTTTCAACCTCTCTACATGCTATAAAATGTCATATGAAGTGTTTAATTTCTCAGTAATTCTTCATAAAGACCGTTAATATTCCCTGGCAAAAAGAAAATCCAAATGTGTGCCTTTCTAACGTGTATTTATTTGTATACAGTTTATCACGTATTTTCTGTAGAATATGATTCTGTGTTACATTTCAATAACTGACATTAAAGATCAGTCAACTTCTCTGCTACCAGGGAATGAGGTAAAGACTATTATGTTTCCTCTTGAATTCACGTGAGTTCCATCCTTAACAAGGGATTGATGGTGTGACTTACTACCGATAGAGATGGTGGCCAACTGGGGTTATGTCTTCTGAAGCACACAAACTCATCTTCTAAGAGTAAAAGTGGATTGTTCTGTAGGAATAACTTATATCCTGAAATGTTGGTGAATGATAAGATCACCACTTTTCAGATCATTAACTTTACATATAAGCAAAATTCCCTGAATAAGCCTTTGCTGGGGGAAAAAATATAAATTTGCCATATCATGATATTTCATTTACTTCCATAAAAACTTAACATCACTTCTTAATATTTCTAATTGGGAGCTCTTTATTGAAAAATATCAACTATTTCTAAATTAAGAGCTCCTTATTGAAAATAGCAGTTTATACACTAAATAGCATAATTTTTTTTGTATTTTGAGAATTTAGAAAATAAATGTTTTTAAAGATATATGCCAATGGTGATACTTAACACATAAAGGTGGGATGTACTTTTGAACTGTCTTAGAAGAAAACCAATGTGGATATTACAGAATCACTGTGGAAATGTTATATATCAGTGACCATTTAGTTGTGAATGCACAAAAGAGAAAGAATGTCAGCCTTAGAGGATTATCCTACTTTTCCCAATTTTAGAACCAGGAAGTTTTTACTGAAATGGCTTCGTGAAACTTATTTAGAAGCTAAGTAACCTTCCCAATAGTTTAATTATGGACAGTAATTAGTGTTTTTACATTTCAGATGAGGATGTGTAAAAAAAAAAAAAAAAAAAAAGTTAGGAATTCCTCCCCCCACCAGACTCATTCTGTGGAATAAGCAGAAGCAGGATGACAGCCAGCTGGAGTCTGACTCCCTGATGTGGGCTAGTGTGTCCCAGGGAGGGACTCACTTCCTCAACACCCTGACATCACACTGGCTCAGTGGCAGGTCTGACTGTACTGAAATGTTAGAGGATACATGTGAATAAAGCTGTGGGTAGGAAGGGGAGAGCTCGTGGGAGAGATGCATTCTGTTGCTTTAGATGATGACCATTCTTTCTTATTTCTTATTTCCACAAAACGTTTTCCATTTGCCTAACAAACTTTTTAATATCATACTTCCATAAGATAATTTTAATACTTTTTAAAATTTATAATTTGATTTTGATGTCCTTTCTCCCCACTCCCAGGGAACAGAAAATAAGGTGGCTGTTATCTGCTCTGGAGTGTTTTGTTACCCTTCCATGAGGCCTCCTTTGTGCATCTGAGTTCACTGTTTATGCTCAACACTGAATTTCAACAAAATGCCTCATTTGGAACTTATTATGTGTTACCTGTTTGTTATTTATATCCATATGTCTGCATCATGGGCAAAAATTGCTTTTCTATTTCTGTAAGCCACAGTTTATCTTTTTCTCCTTCCACATACCATAATGGCCCCAAGCAAGGAAGAATTTGTGTACCAAAAACTATTTAAGGCAAACAGAGAAAATTCTGTAAACAAAAGGTTTGGTTTTGCCTTTCTAAAAATTGGTTGTCTTACATGGATGGGATACCCTGTGTTATAAGGCAAAGACCATTTACTTGTTACATTCTCGTGACATTTGACCCACAAACCAAATGAGGGTCATGATTGCTGCTCCACAAGATGTTATCATACACACTCTTGGCCCTAGATATCCGTCCTTCAGGGTGTTCAAGTATGGACCTGTCCTCTTCGCCTTCCTTCTTTTGCTCTCTCAGATAGCATACTCCTGGAGGCTGTTTTCTCCTCAACTCCTGGGGGACCCTGCTTCTCTGTCTTCCCCAAGGTGGTTATTCCTCTCTCCATCCTCTGTCAGAGCACTTACCACACTGCATGGTAATTATTTCATGTGTCTCTTCTTAGTGCCGAGGTGTATGTGATGGCAGAGACTGGGTCTTCACTCAGTGCTGGATATAAAACTGGCAGATACTCACTAAATACTTTTGAATAAATGAGTCTCCAAAGGCATTTCTATCTGCAGAGTGGGCTTTTATTTGGCACTGGAGCATTTCAGAACTTAACTGATATGCAGGTTCTTGGAGGATTTAGTAGAAGTTTACAAATGTGGAGATATATTAATAAGATTTGTTGGCATTCCAGATTAGCAGTAGACACTTTTTAGACGATTCTGTCAAGTATAAACAACATGAAGTTGGAGAATACTGGTAGAAGTCATCATCTGGACTTGTGGGTAAAAATTAGGTTTCATCCCTAATTTAAAAAATTACTCTTGGATGCCATAATCATGTGTTTTCATTTCATAGAACCATGTCCTTTTTCTTAGGAGATCTGTGCTGAAGCATTTAGAAGTTAGATGCCAGGTTTGGATATAGATACAGACAGAGAGAGAGAGAGACAGGGATGGATAGGGACAGAGAGAGATAAGTCAATGTGGCAAATATTAACAATTAGCAAATCTAATTGAAAAGGAGTGTTCATTGTTCTGTCGTGTTCAACTTGCCTGGGTTCCATTCCAGACCTCACCATTGTTACTAGCTGTGTGGTATTTGGCAAGTTAATAAAACTCTTTAAGTCTTAGTTGCTTCTCTAAAAATGAAGATAAAGATAGAACCTACTCAGAAAGTCTTTGTGAAGATGAAGTGACAATGTAAAGCATTTAGTTGGGTGCCAGCCTCAGAATCAGGGCTCACTGAATGTTAGCCACGATACTAATGACATTGGTCATCAATACATGCTGAATACCTTGTAACCCTACTTCTATCACATGTTACACTTGCTGTTTTAAAAGTACAATCCCAGATACATTTGCCACCGTATAATTGAACCATTTTATAAACTGGGTTATCTGCAAGCAGGTAAAAGCCACGTAAAATAATTCTTTGGTTTATCCTAATCTTTAAGTCATAAAGTAACTGCTAAAAGGTACACCAAAATGTTTTCTTGGAAATAATTTTCAGAACTGTTTTAGTAGTTTTTCTTTTGGAATGCATTCTGAAACAAAAATTATAAAAACCAATTGAGGTCCACTTGACCTCATATATTTGGCACAAAATGTAAACTAAATTATGAGCATCATTAGATACCTTGGCCTTTTCAAATCACACAGGGTCCTGGATCTGCTGTGTGATGCTGAAGTAACCTCACTTCTTTGGGCTTCAGCTCCCTCATTGTGGTCTCTGAAAATTCATGACACAGTAAAAAATCTTTGAAAAGTCTCTACTTTCTCAGACTGCAGTTGTATCTCACCTTCCAGATTGATTTCTTATAATACACAAGATCATCCATTAAAACATAATAATAGGAAACACCTACACAGAGCTCCCTCTGTGCCAGGCACCTAAGTGTTTGATGTATACTAACTCAGTTATTCCTCCTCACAGCCTTAGGAATAAGTACCCACATCCTCCCCATTGAAACACAGGGTCTTGAGGCGCAGGCAGGTGAAATAACTTGCCCAAGGTTAATCAGTGAGTAAGCAGCATGCTGTTGCGATGCCACCTGGGCAATCTGGCACCCGTTTCTCATGCTCAGAACCATTATGTGTGTGAGCATATAAAAGACCATAGCATTTTGTTAAGATAGCCAGGAATTTATAATTTGTGTAGAGCACTCTCATTTATGGAGAACTGGCATAAATGTCATTGTAGGTCATTGTTTCACCTTATCCAAACATCAGCCTCACAATTCCATTAAATCAGCTATTTGATATTCTTCACTAATCTTTCCTTCTGCCAGTGTCTTAACCCTGTCTACCCACACAAGGTAGCAATATCTGTGCTAATCCGTCCTAATAATTAGTACAGATATTAGTGATCTGTGCTAGTTGATTAATATCTCTGCTGTTTTTCAGAATTAGCACAGACATTCACAGTCTGTTTTAAACTACAGCCACTTAACCTATGTTAAGCCTCACTTTCTGGTGAGTGTGTCACAGTGTATAAGGGTGGTCATTTTAGGAATCAAGTGTTCTTCCACACTGCTGAGCCTTAGGCTTGTGAGTGAGGATGCTGAACGGCTCAGACAGGATGTGCTTATTTGAGGATAGATGTGCTTTTGCGCTGGTTTTGCTGGAGGATCTGAATATTGTAAGCTCAAAGACACTGATTGGTGGACAGAACTTAAGTGCTTCAGGGCAGATGAGAATTACACAGCAGTGATCATATTAAAAGCATTGCATTTCCTGAAGAGTCTGAGATAAGGTAATTTTTTTTCATATGTATATGAAATTCATATATGAAAATTGTAACCAGTGAGAGGTGGGATAAAAAGAGACTTAAATTGTAATATTTTTCCTTGAAAAATAGTGTTTCACAATTTTTTTATTCTCTCTAATTTAAGGAAACATGTAACAGTTTTGAGTCCAGTAAGGTCAGTGAAAGACAAAAATACATTCTATAGTGAATTACAGTGGTACTTACTCTTTCTTTGGACATAGAGGATATAAATTCACTAAGACCAGCTGTGTCTCACGAGGTATATGAAAGTGAGCTTGGTAGTTACACTGGAATCCCAGAATTCCATCACTGAAAGGGATTTTAGAGATGACTCAGTCCCTGTTACCCATCTTAGAGATGAGAAAAATGAGGCACAGAAATTTGCAGAGTTGGAACTAGAAACAAACCATGATTCTTAGTCTGTGCTCCTTCCCCAGTAGCAGGCTTCTGCAGAGTAGAAGCCTATTATCAAAACAATAAGGCTGTTGAAATCAGTGGCTTCAGCTAAGCAATAGCCAATGACTAACAGAAATGGGGATACCAACTAGTTAAGGACAGAGGTGCTCAGTCCAAGTGAAGGCCAGGAGTCTACATACCACTTTCCTCTATTCAAGCTATTTATGCCTGCTAGGTTTAGAGTACTGATTATGAAAGTGAACCCGCAGAGTGAACCCTCAACCCTCATGGCTGAGATTAAAGGAAGCCTCTAGCCTGCTGACATCAAATTCAAAATTGTGTATGAAGATGCACATTAAAAAACTTTTTCTGGGAAGAGCATACATAACTTCCATTAGATTCTCAAGGAGGTAGGAATAAAGGAATTGAATAACTATTACTTTAAAATGAAAGAATTCCTTTAAATTGAATGGTAGATCTTATGACATGAAAGCTGATAAAAAAAACTTTTTAAAAGTTAAAATGTAGGGCTTTTTGGCGTAGAGTTTTTTGATTTGCAGAAGACTGTTAAGATGAGGTATTGAAAGATGAAAGTTAAAAATTTTCCATGTTGGCACATGGAAAGTAAAGAATGGTAAAATTCATAGCACATTCTAATTAGTTCATGTATTTATGTTACTGAAATTGAAGTGATATCAAATTGCATAGCAATGTCCTGATAGCCTTTCCTCTAACTTTTTGGGTTTGTAAGGGTAGGGTTGTGCCTATCTTGCTCACCTTTGTCTCTCGCCTCTAACATGGCGTCCAGCACAGGTAGACTGTGATGACTTTTTTTTGGGTAAATACCAATTAATTACACTTTCGACACATGATTAGGTTAACACAAGAGCAGACATTTGTGCAAACACCACGGTTCTCCCTTGAAGTGATTGTAGGTTTCAGCCAGTGCTAATTTTTCTCTTTCTTAATGTGTGTGGTTAGGAAGCCAGGTCCTGTGGCCAGAGTAAGTGGACCCACTATGTGAGGAAACTTGCTTATCACAGCCTAATAAGGAGTAGTTCTTGTGGCATAAGTCAATACTAAATGTGCTTTGGTCATTTGACAGAAATCAGGGAGGCAGCAAGGAGTCATGGAAATGAGCCCAAACTGAGAGTCAAAAGCCTGTGGTCTGCCGACACCACTAGCCCACATCCGTACCTAAAAGCAGGCTGTGCACTAGGGACCTAGTGACCTTACTAGAAAAAACTCAAATTCTCAGAGGCATAAGTCCTCATGGGCAAAATGTGGATACCACCACCGAACCCTGCCAATTTCCTATCATTGTGACTATCAAATTAGCCCACAGGCAGGAAATTGCCTTGAAACTTTTTATAGCTTATATTACTCTTCACATAGATAAGCAATTAACTTTATATATATCCATTTTTAAAAGATCAGTCCTATGATTAAAAGTTCGACTACCCTAGTTCACTTCGTTTATACATTATGCTAAAGCCCTATAAAAGAGGCACTACTTTGGAGAGATGTCGATTACAAGCAGTAATTTTGGCTTTGGAATATATATATAATGTTCACTTGACCTCATTTATTTGACACAAAATATAAACTAAATTATGAGCATCATTAGATACCTTGGCCTTTTCAAATCACACAAGGTCCTGGATCGGCTCTGTGGTGCTGGAGAAGTAAGTTCACTTCTCTGGCCCTCAGCTCCCCAATTTTTGACATACTTTGCATTCTTATATCTTTGTCAGCTGTCAACTTCAGTATTTTCAGGTTAAATTCTATCCGTAGTCATCCCAATATACCTGCTTTAGATGATACAAACGTCAAAAGATCCGGCTCTCCCTCGTAAAACGTGGAGAACAGACACCACGGGGGTTTTGTGAGGGTAAAGAAAGGCAACCGCTCAGCAAAAACGCACCCTGGCACAACGGGGGTGAATAAATACAGAAGCTCATTGAGCGTTTGCTCCATCTTCACTTCTATTAAATGAAGACACTGATATCTAAAATGCTATGAGTCTAACTTTGTAAAGATTAAGATAGATTTGTAGTTATTTTTCAAGATAAAATAGAAAAGACACAAGTTTTGAAGGCAGTCTCTTTTGATCCACCCTGCCCCACTACTGTGTTATACACACTTCTCTGGCCGCTCCAAAAGGGAAGCTGGTCCAAGGCCATATCACAGGTACCTCCCCTACCATCCCAGGAAACTTTGCAAAGAAGCTCAAGTATTAGGTTTCTAACACCCCTCCTTCCCCCGCCTCTGCCCGCCGGAATCCATCCAGCGCAACCTCTGGTCCGGGGCGAGGCGACACCTTCTGGGTCCCCAGGGGGCACCCTCAGGCGCAGCGGGGCCAGGCCAGGCTCTGCGGCCACGTGCGCGCCGCCCCTGCCCTGCCCTGCCAGTCCCCCCGCGGCGACCCTCGCACCGAGGTTCCCCCGCGTCCTTGCCACGTTCAAGAGAGGAAAGGCGGGCGGGGGCGCGAGACTGAAGTTGGCGTACCTGCTGTGCCAGGAGCGTCTCCTTGGTTCCCCGCGCTGGCTCTGCGGGCCGCTCCGGGCTCCGCGGTCCGCTCCCTTCCCGAGGCTGCAGGCGGCGCTGGGGCCCGGGCTCGGCCGCTCACAGGAAGCCCGCGCCTGCGAACGTGCGACCCTTTTATAACTCACTGTGACTCATAACCGACCAGGCGCCTTTCTGCATACCCCCCGCTTCTCCCCCCTCCTGCCTGTTCTTGGAACCTACAGCTTGAAAACTTTTTTCTTTTTAAAGGAAAAGTCGAAAAAGCCCAGCGCCCGGGGAATTGGTGTTTTCCCCTTTCCCTTTCTCGGGTGTCATTGCGTGTGTGTATTTTTTTTCTCTCGACACGCGCCGTGTACTTTCCTGCGCCCAGCGCTGCAAGGCTCAGGCTCCAACCTTTGTTCTTAAAGAAAAGGAAATGCCTTCAAATGACGGCCCAGACGTCGCCCGAACTCAGTCGGCCTGAGGGGGAAGTGGCGACTTCTTGCAACTGGGTGGCAGGGGTATCTCTACTCTCTCCTTGCAGGGAGCCCAAGAGGAGTGAGTGGGAGGTTTTTCCTCCTCAACTGAGTCAGCTGGAGCCAAGCAGGTCCCTAAGAGAGGAAGAAATCCTCTTCAGGCGATCCTGTATCTCATCCCTACCTCAACACCCTTCAAAAGCCCGCGTTTGGTTTGGAATATGTAACTGGGCTTTGAGAACGTTTGTACTGTGTCTGGTACCCGCATTCGGGATGTCAAGATATAGGACTTGAAACTTTAAAAATTTTGACCTCACCAACATTCTCCCCCTGTCCTCCACTACCATCCCCAGGACCTATTCCTGGAGCATATGGGACTCAGGTCATTTTAATTTTTGGTTTCATCGCCACTCTCTTTTTCCTTCACCCTGCCACAAAGGGGACATTTTCCTGGAGCAACCATTTGATTTTTGGGGATGGAAAAGAACAAATAGATCCTGCAAGCCTAGCCAAGTAACTCATTCATGAGTCTCAGTTCAATAAACGTTTAGACCTTGAAGAAGAAGAAGGAAATATGAGGAAGAGAAGGAGAACAGGAATAGACCTAGCCTCATCGTCATGTGACTGGGGCCTTTTTGTAAGAAAGACAGGGCCACTGCTGGCTTGCATTGCAAGTATCCAGTACTTGGGCCCTCTCTGTCAAGGGCATAAGACATTTTAAAATAGTTTGTATTAAGCTGATATCAGTCAGTTTCTAGGACCCCTGAATCCATGTCAGAGCTGGAAATCCCATAGTACTTAATTTACAGATGGCTCAGGTTGGTTAAGGAACTTGGGAGCATTTTAAAACCCTCTTTTCTTAAGATACATGTTTTTCCCCTATATTCAAACAACAATAATCATGATGATAACCATTAACACTTATAACGCATTTAACATGTTCTAGGTCCTGTGCTAACACTTCTTACATGCATTAACTCTT